TTGTCAGGGGCTACGCCAAGTAAATGACAGGTGAGCGCTGAGAATGACACTGCATTATGTCTGCATTGTACGAGGAAAGTTAAGTTTTAAAGTCTTTTAAATTTGTTAGAGATTATGGAGTATGTAAAGAAAGTTGGAAAATTTAAGAACTTTGGTTGAGAGCAAGAAGTTTTTGAAAGAGTGGTGAGTTTTGTAGAGCATATACAAGTAGGACATTTTTGTAGAAATTTTTTCAACGTTGATAGGGTGCCTATATATATATGGAGAGGAGGTATCATTTGTAACCAATAACCTTTAGGAATGTGAGAGTGTTCTACAATAATTCTATCGAAATCACCTGTTAACCCACCCGGTACCGATGGATATAATTAAATTAAGAAGATCTATATTAATATAGTTGGGAGGGGTATTACCAATTCCGAAAATAATGGATTAGACAGCTGAATTATTCAGCAAATTGAAATCCGTGTAAAATAAACTGGCTTAAAAAATGGATGCTTTGGAAGTTTATTTTTTATTATTATTTAATTAAATAAAATAATTATATCAGATAATTGTTCACGTCTAAAATGTCTTTTAAAATTTTATTTTAAATTATTCCTCTTAAATTAGATAATTCTTTTCACTCAAATTTTTATTACAAAACACTGAACTCACCTTGAAATAGAAATATAGAAAGAAACCAGTAAAAATGAATATACTAACTGGCTTTGTCAAGAATTATTTTGGTTAGGAAGAAAAACGGAAAGGTATGTGAAATACCAATTAGTCAATTTGTCCATAGCGGTATCTCTCAGGCAATTCATTGGAAAGAAAGTAGTCACTTCGATGGTTAGACTTTTTTACTTGTTCATTCAAGCGGACTTCAATTGCAAATCGGGGATAGTTATATTAGTTTACTATTTTCTCAGTCATCACTCCTTCCTTCTAATTCATCAAATGCACAAAAGAATCGGAACCGTGAGAATCGGAACTGTTTTTTTCGATTCTCACGGTTCTGGTTCCGGTTCCGGTTCCGATTCCGAATTTAAGAACCATGGACATACGGTTCCGGTTCCGGTTCCGGTTCCAGCCCGTGGGAACCGGTAAGAACCGGAACCATATATATATATAATTATATACTCAAAAAACGAAGTAAAGACTAAAGAAAAGTCGCTGGACCTGAAAAAAACATATTCTTTTTAGTTTTTTTTTGCCCTAAATGTCTCTCTCTCAGTCCTTGTCAGTCGCCTCCTCCGAGTCCTCTCAAATTCTCAATCTCTCATGATCTCATCTTAGGGTTTGACGAAGTGACGAATGCCCAAGTCGATCTGCTCTCGGTGGTTCCGTGACTTCCGTCTCTGTTTGCCGAGAGTTGACTGACGCCGGCATGTTGGTCATTTTAGGACATCATTATCGACGCTCCTGATCTCCCCGACTACATCTCCAACCTTCCCGATGAGTGCTTAGCTTGCATATTCCAGTCGCTTGGCTCCGGTGATCAGAAATGATGCTCTCTCGTCTGTCGCCAGTGGTTTCAAATCGAGGGACAGAGCCGTCACCGTCTCTCTCTCAACGCCCAAGCCGATCCACTCTCGGTGGTTCCGTCTCTGTTTTCGAGGTTCGATGCGGTGACTAAACTCGCTCTGATCTAAAATGTGATCGCAGATTTGCGAGCATCGGCGACGAAGCTCTCAAGCTCATCTCTTTCCGATGCTGAAACCTAACCCGTCGTCCCGTCTGAAGCTCCGTGCTTGACTGCTTGCCGAGAGTTAACGATTCCACGGGAACCGAGCTGGAACCGTAGAGTTTCTACGGTTCCGGTTCGGTTCCATACTATACGGGTTTAGGTCCAGTTCCGTTTTTAAGGAACCGTTGTGAACCCCTATCCAATGGCATACATCATGCACAAATGCGTTTATATTAATGGGAAACAATTAAAGCATAATCTAAACCTACAAGACAAACAAACAGAATTAAAATAATAATAATAATGATAATAATAGCATGTCAGCTTCCCGTTTTGGTTGCTAAGGCTTAGTTTAGTAGAGTGGAAATGAAAGGAAAAGAAAAGAAAGGATATGGAGGGTGATAAAAAAACGTATTTGGTATTAAAAGTTGGAAGGAAAGGAAAGGGAATTGAAGGTTTTGGAGGGATAGAAATAGGCTCAACAGTGACGTACTTTTGTAATCCTCCCAAAAATGGGCAAAAATGGAAGGAAAGGGGAGGACATAGCAGGAGAGAGCAATTTAATACCAAATTTACCTTTGATTCTAGGGCGCCAAAATTCACTGCGTTGAGGAGAGGCTGGAACAGAATTGCAGTTGCCGGAGACGAAGGAGCACGTGTGCGCGTGAAAAACACGTTAGATCTACTTGCATGTGCGCGTGACGACGAGTGGGCAGCGAAGTTCAGTCCGGCAATGAATCAAACATAGCAGATAGGTACATGGATGGAGCTAATTTCAATTTTGTGGTTGACCAGACCTCCTCACCGCTCATGGAAGCCGTCGGACCTAACTACTTCACTATTGGTTCTGAAATATATGCGTTTCGAACTTTTGATTCTTGTAGATTTTGTAGTTTGCAATTGTAGAGAAAGAGAGAGTGTGGGAGAGAAGGCAAGTTCAGAGTTGAGAACGAGAATAGAGATAGAGGCGAAGGCTGAAATTATTTGCCCTAAAAATATATTTGTTATTCTGGTGGCCCATCATCCATGGGCCTATAAATTATAAGGCCCATAACTTTATTTTTTATAATATAAAAGGGTATAATAGTAAATTTACATAAATACTTATATTCCCTTTCTTTTCCCAAGCATAATTATTATCCTTTCATTTTCTTTCTTTTCTTTCACTAATCAACCAAACACAACACGGGGTTAAAATTATCATTCAATTATCTTTCCCTTATAACTAATGTTATCTTTCCCCTTCAAACCCACCCTACCAAACATAGCCTAAGAGAATAAAGTTGTGGGGACAGTATTAAATAAGAGTTATAAAAAAACCTACACCAATAATAGACTAAAGGGAATTCAAATATGAATAAACTGGTTTGGAGACATTTTTGTCATTCAGATAATATTAGCAAAAGTTATATTATATTATATTCAAATTTAAAGTAACTTTTTGGGAAAATACGTTTTAATTAAATAAGTATTTTGCTGCCATAATTCATAAAAATAATAATACTCAGTAATACCTTTCAAAATAATAATAATAATACACAGTAATAATTTCGCTCAAGTAGAGATGTGGCCAATGTAATTTACCCTCGACGTTGAGACAGTACAATGAAATGGACTCTTTGATAAGAGGCCCGCCCATACACGTACCGTAAATCATTATTATATTGCTTACCATTGCCTTTTACTCATATAAAATAAGACCACGGCCCATGTTTTCACTAGCCCAAACATCAACTTTCTGTACATAAATTATGCATTTCTATTTAGTGGGTTGAAATATGGGAGAAGATCTAATTGAATTGCACTTTTTTGTTTTTTAATTGAGGCTTTCCCGCGGATTCTGAGCCCACCAAAAAAATAATTATTTTTTTTTTGCTGTACTTAATTTTAGTCCAACCAAAAAAAATAAATATATATTATTACTATTAACTCACCCAAAAAAATATTAGTCTATGACAATTTCTAATTCGCCTATGCTTACACGTCATCAAAATCATCATTACATTGCTTACCATTTGCTTCTTGAATCAGGAGCCTCTCGTTAGTCCCGTTGCTAGCTCTCCTCAAATCAAAAGTGCATAAAAATGGGATTTTTTTTTTCGGTAAATAAGTGAATATCATAAATAAAAATCAGAATATCCAAATGGCAAGACATATCCCTGTACCATGTTTGAATCCAAACAAAACCAAATAAAATCAATAGAACAGTTGATAGCCAACACCAGCATTTCAATGTAATCAGTGTTGTGTGTGTTACAATTTTTTATATTACTTATGTTGCATATACCATGTGTACCTAAGCACAATTTCGATGGACGGAACATAAATTTGTAAGAGGAAGGATCCGAGTCTTTTTATTTTGACTTATTACTCAATACAAAGCATCTTTTTAGAGTAAACTTGTTTTCCGTTAACAATAATCAATGTTGACGTGGCCAAATGTAAAGATTTATATGACCAATATATATATATATATATATATATATATATATATATATTTAATTAAAATTATTTTTATATAACAATAAAACATAAGAGTTCATGAAAGTTAAGTTAACACACCTAACCTAAAGGTCTATCTTAAAATATTTCTAACGGTTGTGTATATATATATTTGTAAATTTGTTAATAACAATCCGTCATGAGTCATGCCCGAGATCCCACATAATTTTTATAAATTTATTTAATATAAAATTTATTCATTAATAGAATTAGAAAGAGAAGACAAAAGAAATATTTTAATCGTGTAAAATACTAATAATTTTAAATTACATGTTATATATGATCGTATATATTTTATACAAATATAATGACCATGTATATTTTATACAAATGGTGTTTCTGAATACATAATCTTAAAAAAGAAAAAAGTGGTGAAAACTTCCCTTCAAGTCAGAGTTACCCACGGTATATATTACAAAATACTATAATCACACAAATCATAATATGTATAACCACTATGATGAAAATTTTCAGCCATCAATTCTCACCATTCGATGTATATCACAATGAATCAGATGAACCCTCGATTCTAATTCAGATGTTTTATTAACCAATGATGTTTGTGGTCCCACTAAGGCAGACAAATCTGAAAGGAATACTATAGAAATACAAAATACATTCTTTTGGATATATAGGCACCGTTCATGTATGGTAATATACAGAATCCAAAGTACAGCACTTCATCTTAAGTGTGAAGAAAAGTTGACAAGTGTCCCTCCACCTGTAAGCTTTAGAGTACAGTTATAGCAAACAAGCATGACACGTATCATATGTCTAGGTTTTAGCTACTCTATATAGCTTCACATCCTTTGCTGTTTTTCTTACCAAATTCTAGAACATAAAAAGAAGAAAGGCAAGAAAATAAAGAAAAGAAAGTGAAGGCTAGGGTTTGTCATTTGTGTTGGATTTGTGGGTTTGAAGGAAGAGAAAAGAAGGATGGCCACTTTGGGGAGGAACGTAGCAGCTCCATTGCTGTTTCTCAACTTGATCATGTATTTAATTGTGTTGGGTTTTGCTAGTTGGTGTCTTAACAGGTTCATTAATGGCCAAACATACCATCCTAGTAAGTTCTAATAATTAAACCCCCATTCTCTCTCTCTCTCTCTCTCTCTCTATATATATGTGGGAAAATTAACATTATTTGCATGTTGGTTTCTTTTTGTGCATGTACACCTTGCCAAAATTAATAGTATTTTTGTTTGTAATATACCTTTGTTTTTACTCACTATTAGTTAGTTTGGTGGGAAGGGTTATAGTTCAGTAATACTTTCTTTCGGTAAGTTTTAGTGAAGAGAGTATGTGATACATGGGTGGTGATTTTTTTTGCCCGGATTAAAAAGAATGTGACAAAAATATTGATTTGTAGGTTTTGGAGGGAATGGTGCGACTATGTTCTTCTTGATCTTCTCCATACTTGCCGCAGTCCTCGGAATCGTATCGAAATTTGCAGGGGGCTACCATATTAGGATTTGGAGGAATGATAGTCTGGCAGCAGCAGGAGCAACAGGATTGGCAGCTTGGGCCGCAACTGCACTAGCTTTTGGGTATGTATTATGTAAATTACTAATTTTTTTCAATTTAATTAAGAACTAATTATGGAGTAAATTTTAAGTGACTAATTTTACATAAATTGTGCTACGTATATATGCAGGTTGGCATGCAAGGAGATAAGTCTAGGAGGGTACAGAGGGTGGAGGCTAAAGGTTTTGGAAGCATTTATAATAATTCTGACGGTCACCCAATTGTTCTACCTCATTTTGGTTCATGCTGGTATGTTTGGCAGCAGGTACGGTCCCGGCTACAGAGACCCCGACTACGGCGTCCCTACCGGGGCTGATCCGGCGCCCAAGGGTGGTGGTGGTGTCACGGGGTCTAGGGTGGTTTAATAACTAGTGCGTGTTTAATGTGTGTGTGGCCATTTTCACGGTTAATTTTAGGGTTTTTTTTTTCTGGAACTTTGGACTCTTATGGTGTTGGTGTTGGTGTTCCAGTGCAGCCTGTTATGTCAAACATCTTGTGTTGTGTGTTGTGTAAATAATGGTGGAAGGCGGACTGTTCTATATGTCACGGGTGTTGTAAATTTGTAATGGCTCTTTTTTAACATGTACAAGAATGTTGTAGCAGTAGCTCTCTCATGTTAATTAATTTTTATCTTGTGTTTAAGAAATTTCTACTCAATACTTTTGAACGTGGCCTCTCCTACTCTATTAATGTGACAAGTGGCAACTCTCTCTAGAAATGACACGTTTTTTTAATTTTTTTCCTCTGCATTTTTTTTAGGGTTAAATTTATAAAATCTCACTATTTTCATCAAATTTTGATCGATCATAAAGTCTTTTTAGAAAACCTTTTAAAAAGTAATCACACAGTATTCGTGTTAATTGGGATAAATTTAATTTTACTATTTAATGTTAAATTATAAATTAAAAATTATTTTTTTAAATTAAAAAAATATCTTTTAATTTTTTTATTCACCCTCTCTTTCTAAAACTCTTATCCATCTTTTTTAAATATAATTTTTTAATTTTAGAAGGTATTTTTGTAATTTTAAAAATAATTTTAAATTTAATATTAAATAATAAAGTTAAATTTATGGTTATAATTAACAGGTTAGATACCATTATCAAAATTTGCTTAGATTCAAAATTTAAAAGTAATGGAAGTTTTATAATATACCCTTTTTTTTTTTTTTTGAAATAGTTAAAGTAATGGAAGTTTTATAATTTTTTTTTTATTTGAAATAGTTACATGTACCTTCCGAATATATATTTTTAAATTTTTATTTATTTAGAATAGTTATATTTTTATTTAAAATAATTACACGTACCTTCCTTTAAGCATTTCAATGATATTTTAAAATTTTTAAATAAGATATCGACAATGACATCACAAATAAGAGTGTTAAATTTTATAAACTAAAGTTGGACATCACAAATAAGAGTGTTAAATTTTATAAACTAAAGTTGGTAAAGGAGGAAATTTATTTATAATAGGAGTTAATAGTTTAGAATGCTTTCAATGAATGGAGGTCTAACTTGTATTTGTACAACAAAAACTGGTTTGGCATGAGTGGTAAATGAGTTAAAACTATGGTTTTGAGGTTGGCATTTATGAGTGATACGTTTGTTAAACTCTGACTTTTAGCAAAAACTGAAGAATAACCATTTGCATCCTCACAAGAACTGTGATTTTAGCAAACACTGAAGAGTTTACTATTTTATTATTATTATTTTTAAGAAGCAATTTGTGTTCATCATTATCGAAATGGGATCAATCGTAGCTGAGCAAATATTAATCACAGACATGAATGCAAGCTTCAATCGAAACCTAAAAATTCCTTAATGAATGCAAGCTTCGTTTGAAATTCGAAATTTCCAAGATAACAGGTCATTATTCGTAGTGGTGTAGGCTCAGTAACTAATTTTTTTTTTTTTTTTTTTTCCTACAAAATGAGAAAAGTGGGACAGAGAAAGGAATCAAATTAATGCTTAGTATTACAGTAACAAGCACTTAAAAAGATTTTTTTGGTGTTGATGACAATTAATTCGTGCCTACCCAAAGGATGTTATTGGGAGAGAGAGAGAGAGATTATCAGATTACTAGAATGAGAGGGTTGAAGATAATGTGTTGACTCGTTGACCCGGTCAAAAAGTTTGTCTTTAATAAAACTAAAATCTGGTTAAAAAAAAGCATTGATTTTTTTTTTTTTTTATTGAACTTGTGGGTCAATTGATTCAATGATAAGTGCAAAATAAAAGTACATTTTTATTATTCTATCCCTTAAAGTTTGAGGCCTTTAAGACCTCTTTTGTGATTCTTTTGGAAGAAGATATGGTCAAAGTACAGAACTAATCCGGGTCCGTAGTGGCAGTGCAACACAGCCCGACCTACCCTTTTATTTGAAGTGTGTAATTCATGCTATAAATATATTAATGTATGAGCCATATAAATGTAAAAATTATTAGAAGATGACATGTAATTAAATGTGTTAATTTAATTTATTTTTTTAATTACCTATATGCATGGGGTCTGATTTTTTTTATTTTTTCATTTTTGCCCTAGCCCAGTGTTCTGGTCCATCTTTGACCAGAGCCATATAGTCCTGGATCATGTAATTAATAATTTCTCTTACAAAAAAGTGAGAAAAATGAAATTGAAAACTGCATTTTGCCTTGATGAATGGGATAGCTGAGGATACTCATTGCTAAACCCACCTAAACGTAACATGGATGCCTTAAGCTAACATTTTGCCCTATGACCTAAAGATTTTGTTTTGACTAAACAATCAGTTTAAGTTAGATGACGAACATCTGGTCTTTAGTTAGGTTCACACTCCTAGTGGAGAAAGAGAATTTATATAGCCGATCTTTTTTTTGCGAGATAAGACAAAGATGATGAAGAAGATTGAGGCAAGAAATCACACATTCTCTCGTGTGAAACGATGAGAAAACACTCAACTAAGATTCGGTCAAACTTTATTTATTTTTATGCGGTTTTGGCATTTCTAAAAGTTCCCCCCCCCCCCCCCCCACACACACACACACACACACACACACACACACACACATCAAAGGCATCAAATTAGTTGGATTCTTAAAACATTAGTTGGATTCTTAAAACATATGAATGACTTCTTTTACATATTACGGGAAAAGTAGAAAAAAACACTTGTAATTGGGTTCATTAGCCAAAACATTTGCTCCCCAAATGATGTTAGTGAGCATGATCAAGATTAATTTGGAACAAGGGAAAGCCGATTAGTGATAAGTTAGTTTCTTAGTAGGCGAAGAAGACGTAATTAAAGCTCCTTAAAATACTTTGAATTTTATAATTTCCGACAAATTTTTTTAACCATTTTCTTTGCATCTATATAAAAATAAAGTAAAAGGAATTATCTTTAACATTTCTTTAATGTAAAAGATGTTCCGAATAAATTCAATTACCGAGCATTTTTTCCCATATTTAATTGATCATTAGGAACATAAATGAGGATTAATTTGACCTGAATCGCAATTGGTTGGAATTAAATTGCGTACGGTTTAATCTTTTTTATCTTAATTAGTATAATTATTCATTTTGCTTTTTACCCACCTTGATTACAATATCCAAAACCACAAGACCTCGAGTCAAAGACGAACTTGCATTTCAAACCATGTTTAATGTTCAGCATTTAGATTTCTTTGGATATAATAATATTCGTTTTGCCTACCTAATCAAACTACTTCCCGACAAAGATTTAAAAATTAAAATTTCACCCACTTAATAGTTTAAAATTTTAAAATAAAAGTGATTATCCTATTATCTTGATAATTAAAATTGCAACAGTTGTTGCACCAAAAAGTGACAAATGAAGGTCATCTGATGAGACGGATTTAAATATTAAATATAATTTAAACTATATAACAACCTATTGAAATGTTAAACATAAGTGGTATTTCTTACCTTTTAAAATATAAAGGTTAAGAATTCAAGTAGCAAGTGGATGTTTTAAAATAGAGATAATTACACTTACCTCTCCACCTTCCCTCTTAGGCTTAAAAATGTTACTTTGTCCGTAAACAAACATATACATTTTTTAAAAAAAATAATAAAAGAACATAATACAAGGGAGGTAAATGTAATTATGTTGAAAATACAGTAGAGGTTTTTGTTATTTCAGCAATATATAGGGAAGGTAAATGTAATTATCCCATATATATATATATATATGGCTTGGCCTGGCTGAGTTTGGAATTAGCTTGCAATTAGCTGAACATGCAGGCATAGGGTGAGGTCATCACAAGGACATCATTAAGGAACAATGCCAAAGAACCCATCGAAATTCATATGATGCTTTAGAATGTTTTAGTGATTAGTGGCTATTGAGTAGCTATGGAAAAGTCTAAAGTTAAATAAAATTAAAAACAAAAAGAATATTTGTATCACCCAATTAATGATCAACCAAAAACTCAATAATTAATATGTAAGCATAATGAACCGAGTACTCTATCCAATTACAGTGAAACAGAGTTGATGATTATTATTATTATTATCATTTTTTATTTTTCATAACAAAAGAGTTGATGATTATTTAACTCATTAAGATACTGCAAATCCAAAAATTTGGCTAGTATTGAGATATTTAAGTCAAAAGCTACATACGTTTCTAGAAACCAGTTGGCATTTCTCTAACTTCCCTTCAGCATAAGCAAAACAAAAGAGCAAAAGAGATTATATACTTTATAAAAATGTTATTGCCCCACAACATCTCTAAACTTTATCCTAATCTACTTTGAAAAGTCATCCAAAAATAAAAATAATCCAAAAAGGTGCTAGAACAGAACCACACAAAGAATTAGAGATCTTTTACCTTCAATGCTTTTTATTTTTTATTTTTTATTATTACTATTGAACCACTAAATCTCACAGGCATGCTTGTCCAAGATTTCATTTTTTTTTCAACATCCGTACATAAAATATCATTTGCAGACATCCTAGACTTGTACCATGAACATGTCTTAACAATCAACAGATTATATTCTAGTTGCTTCGATCCGTATGGATATTTGTACTCTAATGCCATTTGCAAATTTTAGCTTTTCCAAATGCCCCTCATAAATTTTACAAGAATTGGTATTACTAACCGGACTATTTTATAAGTATGACTTCACGACGATATCAGCGGTAAATGATTTCAGCCACCTAAAAATAGTGAAGTTATTGAATGTTTAAGCTTTGTATCATGACTAAATTGGATATTACTAATCAAATCATGACCATGTTTTTTTATTCCTTCTCTGAGTCACTTCTAGTCATGGAATTGAAGAATTTAATCATAATTTGTGTTATAATTTGTGTTTTAGGTGTGGCGGTATTGCCAGAGTGATAAGAGGATGACCCTCGGATCGAATACCCTTCCTCTCAAACCCCACTAACTCCCAACTCTCTAACCTTTGCCAAATAAAAATTCTAGAAAATATCTCAAAAGGGGCCTATGACAATGCAAAGCATATCTGATTCAGAGAGCATTAAACACTATTCCACCCTTGAAAACAATGAATGAATTAGGGCATCCTGGTAACTTAACAGGTAAAAGATAAAGATTATTTGACAAGGACATTGTAGTTAGTGACTGATGAGCTGAAGTAAAGCCTTTGTGCCAATATAAATATGAAACAAACACTTCCCCTTTTAAGTCACTTGATATTGAAGACCAACCTACCAAACTAAAAGAAGTATAGTGTTTTGCTCTCGTGTTTGGGGTTGATGGCAGAGCATTTGGGTTGTGGAATCATAGAAGAAGAGTGGAGGAAAGGCCCTTGGACTGCTGAAGAAGACAGGCTGCTTATTGAGCATGTCGAATTGCATGGTGAAGGAAGATGGAGCTCTGTGGCTGGCCTTACAGGTACACTCATCTCACCATCCTAAAAACCAAAACCTCCAGTTTTCTAACCCTAGAAGTCATGGATATGGTCTTAAATAGAGCAGAATGGCACGATAAAATTTGTTCAGTTGAACAGTCTACTCGTGTGTGTCGGTTTTAGATTATTTTCGGGGTAATATATAATTTTTTCTTATTGCCTATACAGGATTGAAAAGAAATGGGAAAAGCTGCAGATTGAGGTGGGTGAATTACTTGAGGCCAGACCTTAAGAGGGGACGAATAACCCCTCATGAGGAGACCATAATTCTAGAGTTACATGCTAGGTGGGGAAACAGGTACTAATCAACCAAGCTTCTCCAATAAAATATTTCAAGATTATTATACTCATAATCACAAATCATCCATCACTAATCTTAACATATTTGAAAAAATAAAAATACAGATGGTCAACAATTGCGCGAAGCTTGCCTGGAAGAACAGATAACGAGATCAAGAACTTCTGGAGGACTCATTTCAAGAAGAAGCCGAAAGTTTCCTCAGACAGCAATGTGAAGTCCAAAGACTATGAACAAATTCAGCAGAATGATCAAGTGGACATGAAAAGGGTCATGTCATTGCTTGATGGAAGTGACAACAGAGTGTCATATCTGCCTCAAGTGAGGCAAGACATGGTCACCAATAATACCATGTATACCAACACAGCTGAGGAACATGGCTTCTTGTGTTCCATGTTCAATGGTTATGCATATGTTCCTGAGGCCTCTCATGAGGACATTTTATTGGATGGTTTGTGGAACTTGGATGATATCCATGGCAATTTGAGCTGGCCTGCGCAACAAGCAGAGCTAGTCTTCACAGTTTAGCAGCCCCATGTTAGTCTTAATCAGCGTCTTCTTATTCTTGTACTACTAGTTATTTGAACCAAAAGGTTCCCAAGTATCAGCTTGTACACTTGCATTGGAACAGGAGTTGGTGTTTAAATCTAGTTCATCACTTATCAATAATCCGGAGTAATATAAACTTAATGACAGAAGCTGAGAAATTTTTTTTTAAAAAAAGCACTGGTAATTTCAAACTCAACACTGTCAATACACTACCATAGTTAGAACTTGTTTGAGGTTACTTCTGTAATGGTAAAGTGCTGTTATCAATAGAGCTATTATAAAAGTGCTATTTTTTATTTAAAAAAAACTAGAGGGGAAAATTTTCAGAATTGAGACTAAAAATAATAAGTTTGTATGGAGTTTTGTAGAGAGAGGGATTCTAGGACAATGTAGAGTTTGTAAAAATTGGTAGATGGTAGAAATTTTAGGAGAGTTATGAGAGTTTGTTAATATGTATATGTTTAGATGAGAATTCTAGAAACTAAATATTAACTATTGATTATAATGCATCCTAATCGTTTATTAGATAGGATAATTGTCTATATAGGTATGAGTTCTAATTGTTACACCAACTTCCAAACTCAAGGGGAGAAATTTCAGAATTGAGGTAGGCGAACAAGGGAAATATTTAGTCTAATTTTAAAATGATTGGAACATATTTTTGAGTGCACTCATTTGTGATATCATTACTTTAACAAAATTATGATATGACCCTACGAGGTGTGAGAGAGAGAGTTTGAGAGAAACTCATTTGTCCTTTCATTAACACGAGATTAAACTCATATTAAGAAAATAATAATAATAATAATAATAATAATAATAATAATAATAATAAATAATAATAATAATAAAAATAATGCTCCTGTATCCCGAAATAAATGTTTAATTTTAAAAATCACGCCACTTATTTTGAGATCAGAAACAAAATCTAATCCTAACAGAAATTCTATCACAACTGCGTACTAAAGAGAGTGACAAAAGCAACAACAGAGAAAACATATACAAATACAATATAGTTAGAAATAACTAAACGAGTAAAACAAGCATAAACACGTGCACAAGCTACCGCTAATATTTGCCTTTCGATTAAATTAAAGTTCTTCTTTCATTTTTTTCCCTCCCTCCACAAGGGAACCTAAATCGGATGGAAGATTCTCAATCCCACGCTGTGCCAGAGTCATTGCGGATCCTTCAAGAAGTTATTCTGGTCTTAGGTACCCTCTTGGAATTTATGTTGCCAGCTCTCAGAATGATTCAAGATTTTTGTGTCATATAACACGTCCTCTTGCTTGCATTCATTCAACTGCAACACACACAGAAGTACTTGAAACCTTGAATTTTTGAAGACCTCTAAGAAATTCTGATCCAAATCTGCAGTTGATGCTTAGACATCCTTGAACAATGGTAAGATCATCTTGGCACTTACATTTCTTTGATCATCATCCTTCTTATGGAGAGGTCTTCACAATAAATTTAGAGGGCAATGCAGCCGCTTTGTATCCACTAACTTACAAATCAAATGAAGCACTGAGACCAATAATGCACCCCATTTAATCCCACAAATCGATCAAAAGAAGCCTCAATTAGCCCAGCTACTTGGGATGAAACATGTAAATAGTTCTCCAATCAGCTTTGTCGAGAGCCACATCCATTGTCCTAAAGGCCCAAACTCAGAACAACTGAAAATTACACTAATGAGGCATGATAAATTCGGAATGGCACAGTTGCTTTCTTTAGAGGTCCAAAGACAACATCAGACGATCCAATGTGATCGTAGTGGTAGACAAAGAATTACTGTGTTTGAAATAGTACGAAGACTGGAAAATGAGATGTGCACAAGTTCATGCTTCCTTTCTTTTCCTTACAAGTATATGAGGATTGAATTAGCTTCTTCACCACTGCATCTCAGATTCTCTTCCTCGTCGGTATTCATAAACTGAACCAAACACCACTCTTCCAACTCTTCTGTTTCTTCGAGTTCTTTTACTCCTACCTCTCTTCTTCTCCTTTTCAGCAACAGATTTTGACATGGACACATTATAAATCCATCTCAGTGGCACCAAAGCTGCAAGAAACTGTATCACAATCCCTAAAGGCAGACTTGAGTAATCGCTTGACGTTATTCCAAGAAAAGAAGACAATCCAATACCCAAAAAGCCACTAGCTATTGACGATAAACATAATGCTGAAGCCAAGAAAGAAATGAGAGATCCTTCACAACCAGGTGGAGCTAAACTTGCGAAAAGCACCTGGAATGGCAAGAGTTTAAATTGTGCAATAGTTTCTGCTACACCCGAAAAACAAAGGGCAAACACCTCATTTGGAATTCCCAGTTTAAGATTAATCTGCTTTACTAGGATGAGGTCAAGAAGAAGGGAGGAAGCATACAAAATCTGCACCGTGCCAATAAGTTTCCACACAGGAATAATTCTCCTGAATCGGTCATAGAGCACAGTCATAAATAGAAGCATCAACTGGCCAGTCACTCGTGACATTCCAATGATTGAAGGATCAAGATTTAGGCATTGGGTTTGGTAGCAAAACATAGAACCAGACAAAATTGGAACCATGGCAATAGAAGCTACAATCCAAATCAGAGGGCGGGCGATACTCGCTTCACTAATTGCCATCATAAGCTCAGAATACTGTTTTTCAATAGTATCTGAGATCGGTTTCCCCACAAGATTGTGATTTGATGGTTGTGGTAAACCAAGAGAATCCTCTCTTGTGGCAGAGGAAATTATGAGTTGAACGGCAAGTAAAGCTGCAAATATTAGAAGCATGGATTTCGGCTGTTGTGTTTTTAGTAAGAAAAATCCACCGAGCAAGTTTCCTAAGATTCCACCGGCAGCTAAGGCCATAAATGCATAAGATTGTAGGCCAATAATTTTGTGCTTTTGGCCATACTCTGCAACAAGAGCATCCTTTGCAACTTCTGTAATTGATGCTCCAAGATTAGTGAGAAGAACACATGCCACTAGAGTAGGAAGGTCTTCTCCTGCAACAGGGATCAATGCCAAAGACCCCCAAGATAAAACCTGCAGCAGGACTAAAGAGTATGGAATTTATTAGTAACTTTGATCCAATTGGTCAAATAGTCGACAGTCCAACAAAAAATACCAGTTTCAACAACTCATATGATCAATTTGACATTGTCCTGACAACGTGTATACGGTTCAGCTTATCATTTGTCCATCAGATTTAGTCCTCAAAATCGATCCATAATGAAGGCTAGTTTTTAGTAAATTCAGAAATTGTTTACAATCAAAATTAAATATACTTTCGTTGAGTATGAGATGATAAATGAAGTATTGCCCACAATAAAGTGAATATTGTAAATTTTTCAGTTCGACAATAAATATTACAGATTGCATCTAGAATTTTAAATATCCATAAGATGTTAGCCTCTATTGTATATTCCATCTCCCATTCTTTTCCGATCGCATAGCACATTGACTTCCTCAACTTGATTATGTTCAATATACTTACTATAACGACTATTTGTTACAAATTCCTCCTTGAACATTGTGATTGAGGTTTTTGCTTGATCTTTACAACTAAGAGTACTATTTATACATAGATTTAGCCAGACGTTTTCTAATGAAAAAAGGAATCTAAAATTTCAAGCTACCTTAATTTTAGTACTTCCATGTGCAATAACTTTCAAACATGAAAATTAATATATAACATATAAAGTCAACCTTAAATTGAAACAGAAACATTGATAGAAGATCATATAGATTGAAAGAAACAAAAGGGAAGGGCTTGTAGATAACCAATTTTTAAGCTATCAAAGTAAAAATCATCATAGAAAACAGCAGCAACATGAAACCAATTCTAAATTTTGAAAAAGCTAAGAAGCACATTAAGCTACAACAATTGTGGTGAAAGTTTATATTTTAGGTATAAATTTTGAAATATAAATACATTAAAAAGTAAATAAAACCAAAAAGGCAAGGGCAGTTGCGAGCCAGAATTTTAGTTTAGGGGGGCACAATGTTAAGAAAAAAATTTATTTAAGGGAGTAGAAGGGAAAAAAAAAAATAAGAAAAAGGAAAAAAAGGTAAGAAAAATGACAACTTAAAAAGGAAACAATTAAAATTTAATTTAACAAGGAAAATTTAACTTTTTTTAAGGAATTTGAAGAGTAAACTAGGAAAAAACTAGAAAAATAAGATATGATTTTAAAAACTAATAATTTTAGAGGGGCATTATATAAAAAATTCCATATATACACATATAAAATATAAAAAAATTTCTATATGTATAGTGAGCGGGGCAGGCCAGGGGCAAGTGCACCCCTGGGCATACACTGGCTCCCTGGGGAAGGGCACGCGGATAACCAATTTGGAGCTATCAAAGTAAATAAAGCGTCATAGAATACAGCAGCAACATTAACACTCAGTGAAGTAAACTAAAAAATGAAAAAAAATACCACCAATTCTAGAATATGAGAAAACTAAGAAGCACATTAAGCTGAGTAGGAAAAAAAAAAAAAAATTACCACCAATTCTAGAATATGACAAAACTAAGAAGCACATTAAGCTACAACATTTGTCATTGGAAGTTTTATATGGTAGGATTAAATTTTGAAATATATATATACATTAAAAATAAAAAATAAAAACAGAGGTGGTACTAAGAGATGCTAACAAACCTCCAATAGAAATATAGGGTATTCTATGAGCACCTCCAATATAGAGGGCATCAGACAAGATTCCATAGAGAGGCTTAGCCACCATGGGAAGATTACCAAAGTGCTGGACCAGCTGCAACATTGATGGATGCAAGTTTAGATTGTGGGCCATGTGGAAATTGAGAGCCAGCCAAGGAAAGCACCTATAACCTTGCACCCCATACCCAAATCCACACAAAGCCAACATCTGTTGACTACCCACTTGTGAACAACCTCCTCTCTCCTCATATACCCTCTTTGTCTTGATGCTAACAGTGTTATTGGAGTTGTGAGATTGTGTGCAATGGATGGGTCTGAAATGTGAAAAAGATGGCCTTTGTGGAGGTTTTCTGATTGCTGGATTGGTGGGTATTGATGGGATTTTATTGGAAACTAATGGGTAAATCATTGTGTTCATTTGGGGGTTTTCAGATTTGGAGAAGACGACAGGGATTAGAAACAGAGTAATATCAGATGGAACACTAACTTACCCTTTTGACACTCAATTCCTCAGACAACAAGAAAGAATATGGTATACGATGTTGAGTAGAGAAAGAGGTAGATTAGATAGAGAGAAGAGATAGATCTAGAAGTGTGTAGGACAGGAGTCACAGGGCTAAGTATATGTAATACTAGTGTATATTATATATATATACACACACACACACACACACACATAGAGAGGGAGGATTCCAGCAAAACCGATGTTGAGGTTTGGGTTTTTGTTGTTTTTCTTTTGGGAGATTTAAAGGGCCCTACTAAGTAACAAGGAAGCCATTGTTGTTGAACACGCGCCAATAGGTCGTGGAGGTGAGGACAATGAACGATTAGGCCCAGATGTTTGAAATTTCCTAGTTCAGGTACAAAAAAATGAAGATCAAATCTAATGATGATTGTGTTATGTGATTATAACATGGGTGAGTTTCAACGATAAAACTGAGCCGTTGAGGTCCCATAAAGTGGGAGACTGTCATATACAAGTTGCTCCCTCAGGCGTCTGTCGCTCGCAACTCAACCGCTCACGTCTTCTCGTTATTCAATTCCTTTTTCTCATAATTTTTTTCAAGAAAATAAGCATTATATTATGGGTTGGATCTGGGTAAACGTAATTTATCACGATTATAACAAGGTTCGAATAGTGGGTTGAGAGAGTGGTTCGATTACAACAAAAAAAAATTAATAATAATCGCCACAATAAATATAAATGCTATAAATTAAGAGATAAGAAAAAAAAATTACTCAAAATAATATACCAATCAGAGTAATTTAAGAAAGATAAATAATTAACAAAAAATTTAAAAAGGAAAAAAAATTGAAATTTGATTCAAAAAAGAAAATTTGACTTTTTTTAAAAGAAAATTAAAGAATTTAAAGAGTAAAAAATAAAAGAAATACAATATTTAAGAGAAAATTTTAAAAAATAAAAATTTTAAAGGAATATTATATGAATGATTTCATATATACATGTAAAAAAAATATAAATTTAGTATATATTAAGCGAGGCAGATGCACGTGTCACCGGGCATACATTAGCTCCGTCCTGAACAGGGTGGTCCAATTAGAAGAATGATCCTGCATGTCCAATTTGCAGTCCATCACCATAAAACAGCTCTAGTGCTAGATTGTAGAAAGAACCATTTTTCACTTAAAATGCATTGTTTCCTCAATTTTCTCAATTCGTTCAGTATATAGATGATTCCCTAATAATATTAGGGATAATTTCACTCACCCCCAAAGTTTGGTCAAATATCAATCTAAAATATTTTTCAAAAATAACTATCACTCACGTTACAAACGTTTACTCCTTTTTTCACTCACACCTCAAAAGTTAATTGACAAGTATGTCAGATCACTTTTTATATGTAAAAAGATCTTCTAACCTTTTGACTTTGGTTTGACCCTCATTTTTTTACAATATGACCTCTTAAAAGACAAATTGACAAACTTAACCAAGGAAATGAGACCTTCAAGCCCTTGTCATCTTCATCAAACAAATTGACAAAAAACAAATTGACTCCTATATACACACACAGAGACATATATATACTCTTATATATACACACACAGACATATATATATATATATACTCCTATATATACACACACACACACACAAGCACAACACCACCATCAACGCCGACGAGGATGTCGGCACAAGAGACAGCGGCAGCGGCAGCGGCAGCGACAGCCAAATCGTGGTGGCTGAGCACTAAACCACCCTCTCCGACCTCACTAACCGTCTCTCCAAAACCCTTTTCAACGGTCAATCCGGCCGCCGCAGCCCAAAAGTCGTCTCGCCTCCGTCTCTTTCTGTTCCGTCAAAACCCGAATCGACCTCTGCAATTGGGTCAATATATATACATATTTATTCTTAATGATTTGTTTGAAACTCTGTTAGCAATATGTGGCAGTGAGATAATTCTTTTATGAAATACGCTACTAACACATCGAAATACTAATATTAAGCAGTAAACTAATAGAATAAATTTAAATACGAATCCAAATAAGAATAGGACAACATAAAGAATTGGAAAAGGGGGCTATATAGTCTCAGAATATACTATCCCCCCTTACAAACAGAGTACATATTTTCCGAAGATTTAAAATCCTAACACTTACGTAAAATCACATCATTTGCATTCCAAATTCTAGAGCTACTGGCTTGCGATATTAACTTCCATGGTGCAATTCATATTGATAGCTTTCTTCTTCTTCATCACTAGCATTAGCTCCACCTTTCCGGTCAATCTTGATGTGCAGCTCAACAGCAAAATTCCAGAATAGAAATCACTTCCTAATTTTGGTTGGTAAGCTAGTTGATGATAGGTTTATAGCAACGTTGAACCTCTTGGTGGATTGAAATTTAGCTGTTGATTTAGGAACAAAAGCATTCCCCAGTTCAACACCCCTGCAAAAGAAGGTAATGATACCATCGTCAAATTTGTAGGGGCCAAAGTTGGTGTCGGCTGAACACGCGGCGGTGAGCTTGCGGCGGTGAGGATGGCGCGATGGACTGGACTGCGGTTTCGGCCTCGGTCAGCTCTGCTAGATGAGGCCTGTGGTGGAGGTCTCGGATGATGAAGGCGGAGTCGGCCGGTGGGGGTCTTGGCCGTGGATGGTCCGTCTATGGACGGCGACAGCTGGGTCGATGGCGGAGATGGTGAACTCCGAGTGTTTGGAGGTTTGTCCTGATTGTGGTCCGATGGGGTCAATTTGTTCTAGGAAGCAAGAATCGGTTGTTTGGTTTTTGTTCGTATAAAGGTTCAGATAAGAGAGATAAGAGGGTAAGTGAGAGGGCAAAGTAGTCATTTTAAAAGTATTAAAAAAAATAAGGGTAAAATTGTCTTTTCGTATTTTTTAACGGTGTCATTGACAGAAAAGTCATTTTGGACCTAAGTGATAGTTATTTTCGAAAGATATTTTAGACTGATATTTGACCAAACTTCAGGAATGTCAATGAAATTATCTCATAATATTATTAAAACCTTCTCGAACTTGAGCAAACATAGGTACCAACGTGAAAATAGTTGTCAAAATGCAACCCTTGGTGCTTTAGATAAAAAATAAATAAAAAATTATAGTTGTCCAGCAACTAAACATATCAAATTTTAATTGTTGGAGATAACATACAGCACGGATGAGAATACTGATCTGTGGCAGACCATTGGCAATTCTTCAGGCAAGTCTCTTCCTGGTCTAGCCCTTTTCATTTGTTGGCAACTACGAACATAACCAAAGCTAATATATGAACATAATAGAATAAGCTACAAAAATATTACAACCTTCATAATATTTTTCTGCTTCTCATGTCTTTCCAATGTCTATATAAACCTGACGGGGAAAATTTGGAAACCGTATTAAGCCTGTCGGTTGTCTCATGTATTGTATTTTGGAGAGAATGACAACAGTGCAGTTGAAACGGAAGTAAAAGGAAAAGTAACTGAAATTGTACTTCTTCTGTCCCACGACATCCTAGTCTTCGTCAAACCTAATCTTCTTCGGCGCGGGCTGGTTGCCCACCTGCAACAGAACCAAACAAATAAATAAGGAGCCAAATAAAAATTTTCCTGACAATTAAAACACAAAATTAAGTGAAGCCCTTGAGGAAAGGAGGTGACAGGGACACTAAAAACAGCAAGTACATCATATTTAATAAGATGTTATACAACATCACATACCAAGTACATTAATTGAACAAAAATACAAATTAAACCAACTTGAATCAATCAGCGTAGATATGATTCAAGCAAAGTCGAAACAAATTGTATTCATCAAAAAGTCGTCAAACTGAATGCAATATTTTCACGAGACGGACAAAATTTCAGATATAGACATCTTCCCTTTATTAAAGAGTAGTTAGACTGTCATTTAAAAGTTATGATGGATAATCTGGATGGCTCAGATGAGTCACATAATCACATGCTACTCGATATTCCAGAGAGACCTATACTCTGAAAAACAGACTGGAGTGGCCAGTTCAACTAATTGAAAAATCAATCTGTCAAACTTTTGGTCCAGTCAGAACACAAATTATTCCCTCCAAAGAGCCGTTTTATTTCTTCAGTATCATCAGAACAAAGCAATGAAGTCATGGTCTCGCATAACTGCCTTGGTTTTATGCACTAAAACATGAAATAGCCACGTCTCACTCTACAGGGTTTTCCTCCCATTCTTCAACATACAGTCTTCCCCCTAATCCTTAACAAGCCCAAGGTTCACCAATTCTCTCCCCCTCCCTTCCTCAATGTGTGTATTATACTATTTATTCATATTTGTATATATGCCAACTGAAATAGAAACTTGCTACTGGTCTAAGAACAAATTAAGATCTTCCATTGCTTATCCTAGGCCAACATTCTCTCTCTGTCTTCTCTTTCAAATTTATAGAATTTCTCCAACTCCTTTCTTACTCGTTGATCAGATTGGTACACGATATTCTTATTCAACAAAAGGAAGAAAAAATATTTTCCCTCTGTATATAAGTACTTGGAAGGATAAATCGTTCATTAATTCTTGGTGCATGATCCGAGCCTGTGCAATACATAATGCAGCTTGAATTTTCACTTCTATTGTATTTTCAAAAGGCAAGCAGGTCAAGCAGCTCTTAAATTTATTAATGACATATGCCACTGTCACGATTCAACCCATTGACCCAACATTGAACCATTAGATCAAGGACATCTTATTTAAAGGTTGATCAACAGTTTGGCTTTGAAAACCTCAACTAGGACAAATTACTTTTAGCTTCAAATTCTTACTGCTTCACTACTGTTAGTAGTTACTGTAACAATATTGCGCTCTTAAGGAGAATTCCAAAATCACTAACCTATACATGCCTTTTTCTCATAATGTGGGTAAAATACATCCAAATTTCACATAAACAGAAAGGCAAAGACTGCCCAGAATGACTAATGTTTACGCAAACACTGTCTTGAATGCTAGGTTTTTTACCAATTTTTTCGTTTTTGTAGTTTTCTTTTTTTAATTTAAAAAAAAAAGGAAAAAGAAAAGAATAGAAATCCTTACAATTTCTGGGCACTCATAATCAATACCAGCATCCTCAATCTTCTTTCTCCTTTTCTGGTCCCGTTTCATGATTCCTTTCACCAACTTCTTGTGCCCTTCCAATGTTCTCTCCTGAATAATCATCACGTATCAGTGACATCATTACTTTAAAAATAACAACCATATATAACTCAAAAGGCCCTTTTTGTCATTTTCGCTTTCCAATCTGTTTCATAAGCATCAAAATAATTATCAGCCAGAGGTATAATTCTATATTCATTCTTACATACCTTGTCATGTTGCTTACGCTCAATACGGACCCAATCCAAGGGCTTGTACCAACGGTTAACACCTTTCCACCTAAAATTAGAGAATAGAACTATCAGCAACTAGTTAAAGACATAACATCTAAATTAAAAGACAGGGAACATCATAACAACCACCATTTTCCACATATATAGAAAGGCTGGCTTTAGTTTCAGTTACATATTTCTCTTGAAGAATTTTTAGTAAAATAAACACGATTACTGAGCTACATTACACTTCAATAATTATCAGAATCTGATCGAGTTCGACAATTTATGCAGAGATTGATGTCATCAAGGATCGGCCCTTCACTACTAGATCAACCTCAAAAATAAAAAATAATAATAATGAAAAAAATTAAAGAAATCAAGCGCTGTTTTCAATTACAAATCAAGTTTTCCAGAAATTATCATAGAAGAGCCACAGAAGTATGTGCTGCGTTTAGAAGATGATTACTGGAATTCTAACTTAGCCCACAGGGAAAGTCACTTCTGTTGCTGAAAAGATATTTCTCTGGGTTCCCAGATTTCTCTATTAATATGACACTCATCTCATCAAAGATTCACATTTGGGAGTATTTGTGGTAGGCAGTCCAGTTTCAAACATGTTAGGCTTTTCCTTTTTTTTCCCTTTTTCTTCTTTCTTAATCTTTATTATCATTTCAAGGATTTAGGATATTAGAAAACAATGGTACAATCTTTGTACTATTGTTATCATTATATAATGGTAGCTTGTTAATTTATTTTAATCTATATTTTGAGCATACGTTAAAAAATAAATTTGTCACAGTTCACATTATTCTTCACCTAAATAAGAAAAAGCTATATTTTGATAAACAACAGTAATCATAATTAAACAACTGCACACCATACAGCAAATGCTAGATGTACTCTTATTTGTTCATGTTGGATGTTTAAATATATCAACCAATACGCAGCATTAAATGACTTAAATCTGTATTCTCTGCACCCAAAAAAGGAGCAATGTGTTTTCTGATTAACTCCTCTAGTACATCAAACAACAAATAGGACACTAATTATCCTTCTCTTCTTCGATAACCGGGACACTAATTATCCTTCTCTTACAAGACTTTCTTGCAATACTGCTACAAAATTTTACACGAACCAAACAGAGCTTTAAAGTAAAGACATAGTGTTGCAATTTCCTTTCAATTAGGGTGACAATTTATAACCTAAACCAACCTATTTGGGGAAAACATTTTTTTCCCAATTAAGAGTCACCAGCACTTTGCCATACAGGGTGTTGGTCCAAGTAGCCCTCTCCTCCGTATGTATGATTTTTCAATTTCTTTTTACTTGGGCACCCACCATCACCACTTTAACAGAATTTTATGGATAAAATTCCTTGCGCAACTTTGTAGACAGGCAATTTAGTCCAAAAGGAGGGGGAGGTGGTGATGGTCAATCTTATACCATATTCAGATGTGTGTCAATTGCCAAATTTGCAACATCAAAAATTAGTAGATATTTTCTGGCGCAATTTACAAAGAACCACATAATGGAACTCAATGCAACAAAGCCTTTTCCCAACTACTTGGGCTCAGCTATAACCAAATGACGGAAATTAAGATGAAATTTTTAATTGCTTTTAAGGAAACACCAAGAAACGAAAGCACATAATAAGATATGTTACATAAAACTACATAAACAAGTTATAATAATTTCTTACAATTTTGGATGAACACGATCCGGAGGAATAAGATAAACTTGCAACAAATGCTCAAACAACAGATAATTATGCATACAATCTGCTACAATCTTTGCCACCTGCACTTATCAGAAAGTGAAGTTAAGACAAACATATTGAAGAACAAGCATTCAGCCAAAAATTCTGTCAACACAAACACCACCTCGGGAGACTCAAATTCGATGAAGCCAAAATGCTTGGATTTTCCTGTCTGTAAAACATCAGTTCAAAGGAACAGTTGAAATCAGTTAAGGAAATTAAAGTATAAAAACCCAATGATATAATAGGAATGCCAGTGCTTCAGACAAAACAAATTTAGTGAACCCCCAAAGTTAATGTTATCCAGATCTCACTGCTTCTGTAACACCACTCTTACTATAAACGTAAAATGCTAAATAGATTTTTTCATTCTTTATTGAACAATTTTAGAGATAAATGAGCTGTTACAAACACATTGATCAAATGACATGGAAGCTCTGTATCTTTTCGTAACATAGAGCGAATGCTTACATATTGTATCAAGATATTCGTCTAACAAGACATACAACCTACTAGTCTACAACTGTAAATCTTTTCCACGATTTCCTTACTGAAAAAAAAAATAACATGCATCTCCTTTGACTTTTGCATTTCCAAATTATACACTAAAAAATCGTATTCTTTATTTTTTGTTTAGCAATAAAAAAATATGGAGATGTAGATAGCATAAAGTACCAGTGTTAAGATGAACAATCTGTAAGCAGAATATTTGAACACATAGCATAGACATTACATATATATACAAAATCGAAACTTCACCAAAGTTCACTCCATTAACTCCAAAACAAAAGGTAAGCGAGAAACCTAATCTTCTCTGCCTTGACTCTTGAACGTATTGGAGAACAGTATAGTCTAATCATTCAAAGCATGAGCGGATCTTCTCTTTCATCCTAAACTACCTCAGTTTTTGCAACTTCGAACATTTCATTAAAAAATTCAACTTGCACCAAACTGATGTAATGTGTGTCTATCGGTGCATGTTTACATCTGTGGTAACAACTATATGCGTACAAGGATATTCAGCTAACCCAGACTTATAATTAACGGCAGCACATTTCAGCAGAACGAACATATATAATGCATGAAAACAATTTCTTTTCTTTTTTTAATAGTATAACCTCTTCCAACCACTAAGTTTATAAAGGTTATTAAGTTTTATCAAGTAAATCTTTGATAACGCTAAGACAAAAATTCCGTTCTCTAAATGATAATCCAACTATCATGGTTAAGCAAACAAGAATTGAAATTCGATAATCACTGAAATATAACTTCATTTTAATTAAAGTAAAAGATAAAATAAACGAGTAAAGCCCCCAACCTTCCTATTCCTTGCCAGTCTAAGTCTTTTGATCGCACCAAATTGTTTAAAAAAACCTGCAAAAAAATTTAAAGTTTTGCTCTCACTTCATTGACATTTTTATGTGAGTGTGTGTACATATATCTATATATATCTGCATTCATATGTGCGTGTTGTGGAACTATATATAGTGTAAGTAAAAGCTGAATCACACCTTCCATTTCATTCTCAAAGAAGCCATGTGGAATTCGACCAATGTACAAGACTGTAGCAGTATTCCCATGTGTGTTGCTTTCTGGAAGTTTGTGGCCAGGACCGCCCTCTAAGGGCTATTAAAGAGATGAATATTAAATCAGAATGAGAAATTGAATAGATAAAAACAGACCATTAAATAAAAATAAGGAAAGTTGAGAATTACAGAAAATCAATGAGCATACCAAGAAATCAGCAGCTTCATCTTTACGACTTGAAGCCAACATTTTGGATGAATTCTTCTTCAGTTTCTTCTGGATAGCTTTCTTTGCTTTGGACCCCATCTCACTAACAAAACAAATATAATACCCTGTTATAATTATATATAAACCCAAAAAAAAAGTTAAAAATAAATAAATAAATATACAATGAGATATAAACAAAAAAAAAAAAAAAATCAAGCAACTCAATTCACATCAAAACTTCTACTGCAACTGTACACGACTTTGCATTGGTACTTTCTATTTAGTTGGCTGAGAAAGACGAAAACAAATAAAAAAAAAAAGGTGAAGAGTTAGAACAGAGAAAGGAGTACACATAAATTGTTGCTTCGACACTCTGTTCTCTTAAACCCTATTGAAATATGAACAAAACTGAAAAACCCTCTTGATTTTGGAAGTAACAATGGTTCCCTTGACCTACCATAGCCTCACGAACGACCAAAAACTAATCCCTAGGTTGGCACACTATTTGAGCAGGAGGTGAGAGAAAGTGGGTTCGTGATGAGAGAAGAAAAATGAAACAAAGCGAGTCAGAGGAGATGGAGTGAGAGAAAGAGAGAAAGAGAGTGTGTGATTGGGATAATCATACCCGAGTGTTGAAGGAGAATCAGAGAAGGTGCGCCGACGAGGAGGAATGAGATTAGGGTTTGTGATTCCCCAATACAAAGCTTATTGTTTTCGTTTTTTCCCCTCTCCTAAGATTCTTGTAATGGAGCTTGGTCCTTTTTGCCCCCCAGTGACTTAGTTTATTATTATTTTGTTCAAAACACTTTTTTTTTTTTTTTTTCAAAACACTTGAGATATATTGTTTTGAATAAAATAATAAAAACAAAATTTTAATTTTAGCCTAGGTATGGACCGTCGATAGCATCCCAATTTGTAGCCTGGAGTGGGTTTCGAAGGGGCTCTGCCCAAGTAAGTTCAGGTGCAAGTCAAAAAAAAAAGAAAAAAATTTATTTTAGTTTATTTCATTTATAATTCTATAAGATATACGGCATTGTTTTAAACAAAATAATAAAAATAAATTTTTATTTATTTATTTCATTTATAATGGTTCCTGCTCAGCATTAAATCGTCGACATATAATTGAAATAGAAAAAAACAATTAATTCAACTTCATTCATTCAGTATACTTGTTTTTAAACTAACTTCAATTAATATGTATATATCAGACAAATTTAAAAGAAAACTTATGTATGTTTAAGTAGTACAATTATATAAGAAAAACAAAATTAAAGTGTTTTGTATCATAGTATATCTCATGTTCTCTCTTGTAGAGTGATTCAGCAAATACTATTAAAAATAATAATAATAAGTCAAATTATAAAAAAGTATACACTTGCAATAATTTAAAAATATTAAATAAAATTTAAATTTGTATTAGGAATTTTAACTATTCTTAATTAGACTTATATAAATAAAAAAGTACTAGTGGACTTGTCTATCTCCTAAAATAGAGAAGGTTTTGGGTGCTTCCATCATGTAGGTTTGATCCTGTAGAATTTGACAAATATTCCCATTGGAAGGGCACGAAATAAATCAAATTGATTTTTCGATCAAAAGTATTAGGTGAAATGTTTGGTTTTTTCTTTTCGTCTATCCTTCATTCCATATGTACAGTGTTTGAATTAATGGAGAACATTTTCTTGTGTATGAATTGATATTTTTTATTACATTCTAATTCTTTCCCGCTACCTTTCGAGAAAAATCTCAAATTGGATCCCGACTCATTTAAGTCGTACTTGTTGTGCATGTGCAGACTCTTGTTGTACATGTTTGACTTGAATGAGCTGATTCGTCGTACACCTGATACACTCAATATCCATTTTTCAAAATGGATAGTGAGGATTTAAATCCCAAATGGACAATGTGAGTTTGTAAAGAATGTGTATTTTTCTCATTAAAAAAATTAATAATAATTAAATTAAATCATATAAATAAGAGCATATCGTACATAGAATATAAGTCCTTACAATTTTACTACAAAAGGTATATTAATAATTTTCGTGCATCACATCAAATAAAAGATAACTAAAAATAAAATTTTATTTAATTTTTTGGTACCTTCTTAAAAATTGAGATTTTTTTATTATTAATGAAATAATTTTTAAAAAATATGTAGTTCTTCGGCTATTATAATAAAAAATAGCAACTATGATTTGTCCAGGAGTGGTGCAAGGATTCGAACCCTAACCCTATCACCTTGGAGTTGGTATGCTTGCTTAAGCTGTAGTACCTTTGTACCAGTCGTTTTGTGCGCTGCACAAGTTGTTAATGCGCAGAACCGTATGGTACAGCAGCCCTAGAAGGCCAGAACCGCCTTAAACTGTCTGTGTGTAATCGCAGAGCTCTGCTCATGGCTTCTCAACCATTGAAGAAGAAACCAAAGAGGTCGAATCGTCGAGTCAGAGAAGAATCGGACCAACTCGAACGCATCGACTCACTTCAGTGGAACCAATCTCTCTCCAACAATGACGACTCGTTCTCTCTCGTCGCCGGCTCCAACGAACTCGAAGGAGGTCCGCTCGTTTTCACTTTTTTTTCAACTCCTCCATCACTTTCCCGATAAAACAAAGGGAAAGGAAAAAGAAAAAAACTTGAATTTCATGCTATCAGTCGTTTTGTTTTTCCAAACAGTACAATACGTGTTTATATAAAAAACAATAATAAAGAAGAGCTTTTTTTCACATTATTGCATTTTCTCGTTAACTGAACTGCTGGTTTTAGGGTTTTCGGTGTTTAATGCTGCCAGTTTTGATGATTTTCTAAAATGGTTTGTATGAATGTAGGATTTTTATCGCTTGAAGAGATTGATGAAGCAGAGTACGGTTTGGAAATCCCTAAACCGGAAAAAGAAATTGGGAAAGGAAGAGTGAAACCAGCTACGAAATCAAAGAAGCGAAAACGAAGCGATGGAGGTGGTGAGTCTAGTGGTGAGGCTGAAACTGGGAATGAAGAAAAGGTTGAGGAAGAGGATAAGAAAGTGAAAACAAAGAAGAAGAAAAAGAAGAGTAAGAATAAGAAGGCAAAGAAGACCGGGGAAAACACAGAATCAGCTCCTGGTCAGTATTTTATATATATATATATATATATATATATATATATATGTATATATATTTTTTCTGTTTTCTCTACGTAACAAAAATTTTGTTTGCTGGGTTTTGTTTAGAATCCTGTAGTTTTTGAAGGTTTGGATCAGTTTATTGGTACTTTTGATATATTGGTGAATTTTTAAAATTATGGGGAGTGTAAATTTAGTTTAGTACAGTTTGAACTTTGGAATTTGAACTAGTGAACTCATTGTTGAACATGTCATTGGGTTGGTATTGTTTTTTTTTTTTTTTTGGGTCAGTGTCGAATTAGGTGTATACATTTTAATCTCTTTACGTTCACACTGTATATTATCAACTTTTTCAGTCTTGGACTCAGTTTGATATAAAACTATATGTGCGTGTTATCAATGTTTTCAATTCCTGGTCACTTTTAATTTCAAGTTTTGTTGGTTTTGGTCTCTCTGTATTCTGATGATTCAGATACTTCTAAAATGTCTTTGGATCGGTCTAAATTTAGTTATATAAATTTTTTATCTTTACATAAAAGTAGTTTGGCTACCCATGAATTGCCAGGGTCAGTAATTCATAGGTTGATGCGGCATTATGGAATGATTATATTAAAACAAGTTTATGAGATAGTCCTTGTCCTTGAGTTATATTTGACTCTCAAAAAGTTTCTGCCTTTGTGGATATTTCAATTGTGTAGTCAGCAATACTAAGGATGACGTTGAAGGAGATTTAGTGGATGAAGCAGAATATTATGCTTGGAGTGAACTAAGGCTCCACCCGCTACTTATGAAATCAATATACAGGCTTGGGTTCAAAGAACCGACACCAATACAGAAAGCTTGTATTCCTGCTGCTGCTCATCAAGGAAAGGTTGGTTTCATTCATAATAGAAGTGTTGCATTTTGTAATAAACATATGGTATGATATTCATCCTGGTTAGTTTTTGTGATAGGATGTTGTGGGTGCTGCAGAGACAGGATCAGGAAAAACACTTGCATTTGGTTTGCCCATTTTGCAGCGCCTCCTTGAAGAACGAGAAAAAGCTGAGGAGCTCCTTGAAGAAAAGGATGAGGCGGTTGATAAAAATTTTCCCAAATGTTTTCTACGGGCTCTCATTTTAACTCCTACAAGAGAGCTTGCAATTCAGGTAATCATATTTGCTTTATTGGTTTCTTCTTTTACTGGCTGCACCTAAGTGACATGGCTTATTTGATTTTTTTTTTTTTCTTTCTATATTTTTTGTTTTTGTTTGTCGATTGGTGAGTGTATATTGTTTTTGACTATGAGAAAATATATTTCACATAATTTGTGTGAGTACTGTTGGTTGGTTTTGTATTACCTCTTGGCATTGTTTTGAAACTCAATTTTCGGCCAGTTGATTTTCAGTCTGGCTAAATTTGGCTGGTCACTTTTTGGAAGTGGCAAAAAAGGGTTTGCTGCAGCAATCATGGTGCTTGGTCACATGATATTTTGCAGTTGGTACTATTTAATAGGAAGGAAACAACTGGAGCGTATTGTTTCACTTAAACAGTAGAGTGGAGGTTGCTATTGTATCACCTAAGTGACATGACTTCTTTGATTTTTTTTCCTTCTATTTTTATTGTTTTTCTTTGTCTAGTGGTGAGCCTATATGTTTTTTTACTATGAGAAAATATATTTCACATAATTTGTGTGAGTAGTGTAGACTGGTTTTGTATTACCCCTTGGTACTGTTTTGAAACTCAAATTTAGGCCAGTTGATTTTCAGTCTGGTTAAATTTAGCAGTTCACTTTTAGGAAGTGGCAAAAACGGGTTTGCTGCAGCAATCATGTGTTTGATGACATGATATTTTGAGTTGGTACCATATATATATATATATATATATATTTCTTCATAATTGGTTGGTACTATTAATAGAAGGAAACTACTGTAGCATATTGTTTCGCTTAGACAGTAGAGTGGAAGTTGCTGTAGTATCATCTCTGGGGGTTGTTTGGAAAACTTAAAGAATAGGTCAGTCGTGATCTAAGAGCTAGCTGAAATTTGGCTGCTAACATTGTGATTAGTGTCTAAAAAGAAAAGGTTATCTGGAAAAAGTCCAAGTAATTAACCCATATTTCCTCATCCGTGAGATAAAAAAAAAAAAAAATCCGTGCTCAAAACTTTCCTTGAGTCTTGGTGCCCTTCGACCAATACCCTTCATTGTTCAATCAGAGAACTTTCCATTTCCCTTCAAGAACTTTCCATTGCCATTTGATGCCCTTGCTAGGCTGATTCTACAGAATTTGCGGGTCCACTTCTTGGCTTTCCAGAGTAGCTGTTTATTTTTATGATATCCTGGTTATTGGCTTTTATCTTTAATGTTGGTTTCTTTATTTTTCTTTTCCAGGTCACTGATCATCTCAAGGAAGTAGCTAAGGGTACCAATGTAAAGGTGGTTCCTATTGTTGGTGGGATGTCAACTGAAAAACAGGAAAGAATTCTGAAAGCAAGGCCTGAGATTGTTGTTGGAACTCCAGGAAGACTATGGGAACTTATGTCTGGTGGAGAAATCCATCTTGTTGAGGTTAGTACTGTTGCATGTTTCTGATTGGAGGATACAGTGAGTTTATGTATGATGTAACCATTTCATTAGCAGTCAATTTTAATTTTTATTGTGTTGTGTGCATTGGACATAAGAGAGCACATATATCCATATTATTATGAAATTACTGTGCTTTTTATTGTTATTATCTTGAACATCTTAATGACTTAATCGTTGGTTATTCTGTTGCGTGCATCTTATGAGGATCCATCATTATAACTTGACTCATATGGGCCATTACTACTGCTAAACGGATACAGTGAGTTTATGTATGATGTAACCATTTCATTAGCAGTCAATTTTAATGTTTATTGTGTTGTGTGCATTGGACATAAGAGAGCACATATATCCGTATTATTATGAAATTACTGTGTTTTTTATTGTTATTATCTTGAACATCTTAATGACTCAATCATTGGTTATTCTGTTGCATGCATCTTATGAAGATCCATCATCATAACTTGACTCATATGGGCCATTACTACTGCTAAACGCGAACACTGTTTCAAATTACCACTCCAGCAACATAATAAAATAAGACTGTCAAACACTTGAACCCTAAACATGATTACACGAGTCCAAGCATGTTCCCTACGAAATCCCTATCTTCTGTTCTTCACTTGCTCTATATCACATTGGAAAAACAAATCCATATTATGAATCAGAGTGACCTCTTTATGTTAGAAAGTGTAACCACTCTATTAAACAAACCTTGGTACATGAATGCCCTCAAAAGCTTAGAGGTCGACAATTCAAATTAAGAACAAATGTTACTACCTTTTAATTACGTGGGAAAAATATTACATATCTAACTCTTGTAATTTAATTGTAATGTATTTCTTAGTCCTATGTGCAATAACGTGCTTTAGTACATCTCATAGGTAGAACTTGAAGAAATATGTTCAATCTCCATGTTGATAAATTGGCAATTGAGGTTATTCGTTGATTTGTTGAAAGCGGCTCTCTATATCTTTGTAAATAGACCAAATTAATGCATTGGCTGTGTAGACATTCAACACACATTTGTGAGCATTGTAGCCCAATACTTGCTATACATTGTTCAGATTAAAAGTTGACAAACACGTTTTGGTTGAATACATTCTGAGGAATTTTACATAACAATAGGTGTACCATTTCAGAAAGTTACCCTAAAAAGGATCGTTATGAAAAATTATAGCACCACATTTTAGATTTAATCATAAAATAACGATGTCCTCTTGAGTAAGTATGTGAATTGCAATTTTCAAGGTTTGTGATTTTATGTGCAAAAACATTATTTTCCCTCCACAGTGATATATACATAGATAGCCTTCTTAAAATAATAAAGCTAGGATGATTAAAAGCTTGGTGTTCATTTATGGCAAGGATAAAAAATAGACAATGAATGATTGAAGAGTGGAGCTTAATAGGAATCCTACTACTGATCACCTAAAGAAGCTAGATGTTGGTTGAAATTCTTAGTTCAACAAGTTCGAAGTTAGGGGTTAAAACCAGGGATAAAGTGATAAAGAGTGAGATTGAAAGACTAAAAAGGTGCTATAGGTGTTTTTATTTTTATTTTTATTTTTATTTTTTTTTACTTGGCACCAACATATACTGATCATCTAGTTATATGTGACTATTTTGTGCAATGAAGTTGAATTAGAGAATTTTATATGATTTTAACGACTTGTAACTGGCGTATAACAATATAGCTATTATATCCTAAATCTTAATAAACAATTTTGTTCTTTGATTCGGGCTTCTGTTGGACCTATATTGTATCTGGTGGTTCTTTAAATTTAAGCTTCAGTATGTGCCCTGCCACTTTCACCACCTCCAACATTCTATTTTTCTCCTAAGCACAGTGTCTATCATAAGATTGCTGCCCCAATTCCACCGTTAATATTTACTCTGCTGCCATAGTGACCTCACCACCACCCTAGTCTCCTCTCCTTCCCACTGTTCTCCATCCTCATCCATGCTCGTTGCCAGCTCCACGGTCCAACCAATCTACAGTCACCACAACTTTCTACCAGTCAAGCACCACTGCCAACACATCTATTGTCTCAAATCACCTTATTTATCACCACTGTTACTGAAGCAGTTCTCCCTTCTTTATCATCTTCCACTTTTTGCCAGTGTTAGCATTAGGGCTGCAAATGAGCCGAGCTGAGTCGAGTCGAGCTTGGAGGTGTTCGGGCTCGTTTCGACATATCTCTGTAGGTGTTCTAGCTCAATCATGGTCAAGCTCGGCTCGACAAGCTCGCAAATCATCAATATATACAATAATACAACCTACACAATCCACATATATAGATATACACACGCACACAGGTACCTAAGTGGTTGAAGAAGAATCACTTGATTTTCGATTTCCACCGTCTTCGACCTCTTTATGCATTAAAAGAAAATAAAATCGAATTCCACCGTTGATATCAAAAGAGAAGCTGAGATTAGTTTCAGATGAGAGATAGAACTTCTTCGCCTTGGGTAATGGAGTTGCTGCAGTTGTTGTTGCCGATCGGTGCATGTTGACCTTTCTGCCGCTGGTAGCTAGGGCTGTTGTTATGAGTCTTCTGACAGCTAGGGTTCTCTCAAGAGTTGATATGGAAAGAGCAGGATTATATTTTAGGGGCATATGAGCTTGTTTTAAAATGGTAAAGGGTTGGATTTTATTCTTTAAAGGAGAGAGAAATTATGTTATGTATTTTATTTTTTGGGCCAGGAGCTGACTGATCATTATATATTTAGGTGGGCCTGGGCCTTTTTATGTGGCCTGATCTAGTATAACATGGACTCAAAAGAAAGTGTATATTGTATATGTGTGTGTGTGTGTGTGTGTGTATATTACAAGCTCAAAACGAGCCTTTAAACGAGCTTGTTCATGAAGACGTTTATGAACAAACAAGCAGAGTAGAGAGGTGTTTTAGATTGGCTCGTTTGATAAACGAGCCTAAGAATTTTATTTGAGCTTGATTTGTTTATTAATCAAACGAATTGAGCCCGTAGCAAGTCGAGCTTGAGCTGTTCGCCGAAAGCTTGGTTCACTTACAACCCTAGTTAGCATGCTCCATATTTCAGCCAATTTCACTACAACTATTCTCATTCAACAACTGTTATCCATAATTCCAACATCATTTGGTTCATACAAGCTGAACTGAATTTCTGCTCTGATCTTTTTTCTTCATCCTCAAATCTAACATGCCCTTGGAAATCCTTTGATATCTTTCGGAAAACTTGTGAAGGTGCTGTCACCTACCTTCAAGTCCTTTATCACTTGACATCAAATTGACCAGAATGATTTTTTGATTCACATTTTTACTTTTGCAGTTACATTCATTATCTTTCTTCATTCTGGATGAGGCCGATCGAATGATAGAAAATGGTCATTTTCATGAGTTGCAGTCCATTATTGACATGCTTCCAGTGACTAGTGGCTCAATTGAAGGGAATCCTCAGAACACTCAGAATTGTAGGACAGTTTCAAGCTTACAAAGAAAGAAGAGGCAAACCTTTGTGTTTTCAGCAACTATAGCGCTATCTGATGATTTCCGTAAGAAGCTAAAGCGAGGAGCACTAAAATTGAAGCAGTCTGAGAACGATGGATTCAATTCTATGGAAACTCTCTCTCAGCGAGCAGGAATGAGAGCAAATGCTGCTGTTATCGATCTGACAAATGCGTCAATTATGGCAGATAGACTTGAGGAATCATTCATTGAGTATGTATTTTCCCTTTTCTAGCCCCTGAAATATGGAGAATTCTAGTTACAGAATTCTTTTGTATTTGGCCATTAGAAGATATACTTTAATTCATTTTTCTGTTGTTAAATTGTTTGATATGAACATTTTTTTCCCTCTCGTGAATGAATTCTTTGATATGCATCTCCTGCATAACAATGTCTAAATGATTTGGACTTTGTTTTCCCTGTGCACTAAACACCTTTTTTGTTTTTGTTGTTTTTCTTTCCCGGTAGGTATCCTGTTCCTTTTGGATTTAACTTCTGATAAATGTTATTTCCCATATAAGAAATTATATGCTTCCCTTACAAACTTGTAGAGAATTCTTTGTGTTTTACCTTTAAATTGAACGGCTAAATAGCTTGAATTTCTGAAACATTTAATTGTTAAATTCATATGTATGTTGCCTTCTAAGATAAAGGTTGTTGACCATAGGTACGTTGTTTACCTCGTCTCACCTTTTATTGCTATGTTTCATTCTTGCTTCTCAAAGCAAAGATATTGGTGGCTTAAAAATGTGACATGTAATAGGACATTCAATTTGCTTCGGCATCTCTACCTGCTTATGATTATGCACATGCTATTGCTTGTATTTCACTGACCAATGGCTCATGAATTGTGCTTTTATCATGTCCTAAATTCTACTAAGGAGGTGAGAGTAGTGTTACTCTTGGTAAGTTCTTGCCTGATATGCTATTCATTCATCTTTGGAAGTGGTGAATCTGTTTGTATTCTATCTTCAACTAAAATATGTAGCCTATACGAATTCAGCTGCTTCCCTTTTTGTACATCCCTGATGCTGGGTCTCGACACAATCTGCTACTCTTGCTTCCTGTGATCGAAATTGCATTTTTCAAGACATTTTTTCACTAATATACCTGTTTCTTATGTTATCTATATATTGAGGCAATCCTGTTAAAATTTGTCATATAATACTAGTTGCTCACATATATACATGCCCTTACTGTTACTCTTAGTTTCTGGCTTGTTATCATTTTCTCTTATATCCTCCTCTCCTTAAAAAAAAAAAAAAAAAATTCTCACACAGAATGGATTGCAGATGCAGGGACGAAGACAAAGATGCCTATTTGTATTATATATTGAGTGTTCATGGACAAGGTCGCACAATTGTTTTCTGTACATCAATTGCGGCTTTGCGCCATATTTCTTCTCTTTTGCGCATTGTTGGCATCAATGTGTGGACTCTTCATGCTCAGATGCAGCAGCGAGCGCGATTGAAGGTTTGTTTTTATTTCTTTATTTTTTGCATTTCTTCTTTTGCAAATATAGTTATTTGGGCATAAAAATCTTTGCCCATGAGATGGCTGTTATGAACTTATGATAATAAATTTTGCTATATGCCCAAAAGGTTGGTGTCCTTTGGGATTCTTAGCTATGGTGCTTGCGGTACAGTTCCTATAGCAGTATTTAACTTTGAATTAGTGTATTTTTCGGTCTTTAGTTTGTTATTTCTTTATTTATTTCTAGGAAATTTGTGCCTAAGACCCTGCTATTGTAGCTGCTGTTGTTTAATTACTTCACGTTATCTCGTTCTCCAAGAATTTGTCTGGCCTGCAGTGTAAAGAGGATCTACCTTGGAGAATGTTGTCTGTTGATGCGCATTTATGGACTCATTGAAATTGGTTTCAATATTATAGTGTTGCTTAAATTAAAATTATGTTTAATTAATATATGAATAAAAGATGCAAATAATATGATCATAGTTTGCAAAAAGAATAACAATGAAACAAAATAATAGGACAGCCTCACAATTATGGAACTATAGTCTATAAGGTCTTACTATAAAATTTTCTTCTGCCGTTGATGTAGGCCATAGTGGCTGAACCATTATTTTCTTGTGTTGTTCATGCTTAATTTATCTCTTCAATTTTATTTTTCTTAACAACATAGATAAAAGTGCATTACCTAATACATGTCCCACCGACACGAAGTGCTGGGAAGGGAAGACTGAAGACAAATATAACCATTATTATTTCACGCAAACCGTCTCGAAACCTCCATTTTCAACTGAATTCTAATAATCAAATGCCTATTTGAGGGTATTTAGTCAGATAAGGAATAAAAGTGATTAGGTTAAAGAAGAAAGGAGACTTAACATATAGCCTAAGGCCCTAAGCCCGATTGATTTGATTATTTTATGGCAATTACGTTATCTTCTTTTTGTGGATGATATAATCCTCCACCCCCACACAAATATTTTGCTCGTCCTACCTTTTCTTTACAATCTTCTATTTGACACAGGCAATTGACCGTTTTCGCGGGAATGAACATAGTATACTTGTTGCCACTGATGTTGCAGCAAGAGGACTAGATATTCCTGGTGTTCGAACTGTAGTTCACTATCAACTTCCACATTCGGCTGAGGTAAACTGTATCAGTTTGACTTCTAACTAATTAAAATCGGTTCATTGTTTTTTCTTCTGTGGTTTTATTAAGGTTCATGCAGTTTGTGGACTGAAAATATTTACACTGGCAGGTTTACGTTCATAGAAGTGGAAGAACTGCTAGAGCCTCTGCTGATGGGTGCAGTGTTGCTTTAATCTGTCCAAACGATAGATCAAAATTTGCCACTTTGTGCAAATCATTTTCAAAGGTAATACCCTTGTCAAGTTAGTAGTGCTTTTCTAGCAAATTTTTGTCAACTAACTAACCCAAAAAAAAAAAATTGTTGTACTTCTATTGGTTAAAATAAGGAATCAAATCTCCTGAAACAGATGTTAAAGTAGTTGTGTCTTTCAAAACAGTCTTGAAGAATTATTGTAAAGTTAAAATTCAAAGAAATTTTTGACATAATTGTCATGTATAGGACATTTAGCTAGGTCTTGATATTTGTTTTATGATATTTGATGGATCTGTTTCCTAATTTATCTAGAAAGAATATAAGAATAACATTCTATGACTGACTGTAGAGTAGGATCAGTAGAGCGAATGACAAGACCGAGTTCCAAAGTTCCTGCAGTTCTTTGAAGATTCAATAGAACTCTACCTTCCTGAGATTTGTTGTGTGAGCAGGATCAATGCAGCACTTTTTAACCACCATGGTCCAGAGCAGGGTGTGCAAAGCTCTCCTCTTGAACAACCTAAATTGAGTTACAAGTTTTTATCCAGATAGTTATTTTACTTGTTTGATACCTCGTCACATTAGTGGTGGAATGTTTCTCGGGTCAAATTTTCATTCCTAGTGAACACACTGTCAAGCTGACAATGAATCTATTCACGTGGATTAACTGCCAAAACATGCCTTGCCAATGCCACCTAAGCTATGTGGCGACTTTCTTTTAAAAAAATTTATCCGCAAACATATTTCAGTGAAATTCAGTTTGTTGTCCATTTTATTCATTGTTTTCATCAGATGGAAAAATGACTGCCGGTCTTGTCAACACCTTCCATGTCATTCCAACAGAGTTATAGAAGCTAATTTTTTAGACTTTGGACTTTTTCTTTTTCCTTTTAACAGGGAGTGGAGGGGCGACTTCAATCAAGTACTTTTAATGAAGTATATAATAGTGTAACATTGTTCACTAAAATGCATGATACCTTTGCTTTTATACCCAGGAAAGTTTTCGGCGGTTTCCTGTAGAGATGTCATACATGCCAGAGGTTGCAAAACGATTATCTCTTGCACGTCAAATTGACAAGATTCTGCGGAAGGAATCCCAGGTAATAATACCTGTTATATGTGTATGTTCTTGTTATGTACAGACCTAAAACTGAGTTCTTATATGTAGTTTTGTCACCGTCTGTGTTTTTGGACGTGCTGATGTGATGTATTTCTTTATTCTGAGATTTTTTTATTTATGCACGTTTCAGCATGGATATGCAGAACTGTGAATATTGGTTTTGTTTGTTGAAGTCATATTGCCTGTCTACTTTCAACATGCATTATCACTTTGAAGTTTAAATTTAGTAAAGCAACTTCTGCATTAACCACCACGTGTTTCAACTCATTGAGTGTCGTCAGACTCAGCACTATTGTTAATTGATTGTAGAGTTGTTGACACTGATTGCAGATTGATGTTCCATGAAACAGGTAAAACTAATGTTTAGTTGTCTACATAGCTTCTGCAAAAGTGAGGACCCTAGGATATTTCTTTTTACGTTAGTACCCGACGCACCACAATAAATGGTGGGTTTTCTTGGTCACAAAGAGATATAATGGACCAGTTTCAAAGTTTTTGTACTGCCCATTCCAGATATACAAGGATTATCTTACAGTTGTATTCCCTCTCTCTCTCTCTCTCTCTCACACACACACACACACACACACACAGAGATTAAGATGAAAAATGTATGCATTGAAGGAGAAAAAGAGCAAGGGTTGCATAAGCTTTTTAAGTTCTCTTTTGGGATTTCGCGTCTTTAGTAGAGTTTGCTTTCGAAAGGAATGCTTTGGTGATGGTTGTTTGGTTTATCTGGGGGGAGAGCAACTGACTTATCTGTTGTTACATTGTGTTGAAGACTGCTCTGATTCTCGGTTAATGGCAGTGCCGTGCCGTGCAATGAGGTTAGTCCTATTGTTTGATATCTATAATTGGCCATATACTGGCATCTGATGCATCTATAGCCGACCGACATTTGGTGCCTCATCTCATTTTTTCCAAAATGGGTTGTACAGTCCAAATATTGTTGTGTTTAGAGTTATCGTTAAGTTGTTTAAATGTTCATGGTTTTCACAATCATCGTTTACATTAGGTATTTCTGTACATTCATCATATTTCTTCTATTTTATTTGCTGAATCCGCTTTTGGTTACATAAACCACTCCAACCCTACAAAGTCTGATATTCATCTTCAAATACCCATCACTCTCTAAAAGATGTTATCAATTATAGTTATGGAAGTTTTTACTAAACTATCAATGCATTGTATTGTTATATTTGTGATTTAAGGTTTAGATTCTTGCGATGCTGTTTTGATTGGTTCTTAAATTATGCCCCCCGCCCCCTATTTTATTTATTTTTAATTTTTTTCTTTTAAAGGATAAGGCGAAGAAAAGCTGGTTGGAAAGAAATGCTGAATCAGTAGAATTCGTAATGGAGGATAATGACAGTGAGGAGGAAAGAGTAAACAACCATAAGCATAATAAAGCTAGTTCCATTCATTTAAAGAATCTGCAGCAGGTTTCCACATTGTTGTAATCTGTATAATTTTTCACATAGTTGTAATCGGATAGTTTGTCAGCCTCCGAATTTTTCATTACATTTGAAACTGCAGGAGCTTAATATGCTGCTTTCACGGCCATTGCAACCAAAAACATTTTCGCGGCGCTTTTTGGCAGGGGTAATTACTTTTTTCCTCTTTTGTTGACAGTTGACATGGATGACTTCTCTATATTGTGGGTTTATTTCTCTCTTTTCCATTTATGTACTATTTAAATACGTTAGATCGCCTATGCTTAATTTTAAATTTTATTGTTAAGTAGACATTAAGCAGAGTGAGAGCAATAGTGAAGGCAGGAGTGAGACTGAAAGTAAGATGAGAGCATTGATCATAAATTGTAGTGTATAGCTGTGTATGTTGTGCATTTGTATCTCATACGTGTGTTGCGTGCAGGTTTAAGTGTCAAACCTCTCTAAATCCCATATCCTATGATACAGGATTATGACTTGAATGGTTCTAGAAGTTGAATATGGGTAATAGGGTATGTAGGCACATTTGGCAATTAAACAAATTTAATTGCATAATATGCTAAAGTTATTGAGTAGTATAATATAATGTTATTAAGAGATATAGTCAATTAGAATTTAAATTAAATAACTCATGTTAGATTAAGGGAATTTTCATCTGTCTTAGATGTAGGACACAATTTTCAGTTATAAAAATTGAAATTTTTTGTTGTGTAAATTTATAATAGTCTGATGTACCGAGGATTACTGGTATTACCTGGCATACATGCCTCAAAGATGCTGGCAAGGCAAAGGAGAAAATGCATGAGCACATGGAAAACTGAGGAGCATGCAAAGGTTCTAAAACGCGTTCCTCTAGTTATTTGGCATCTCTCTCTAAGACTGTTTAAGATGTGGGTAGCAGTTGGGATGCACCTCTGTGGACCTCTAGTTTCAAATGTCAAACCACAAAACCCTAGGATCCTTTTAAACACCACAATGTGACCTAGAGATTGTTGCTTCGGTGCATGAGCACAAGGAGCTCCCTGGGTCTTGCTGATAACCATAAACAGGGATTGGACAAGTCATGATGTTTTTTTCTGTCTATAGTTACTTTTATATGATTTAAGTGTTCTGTAAAACTGAGCACCTATGAAGGCTCTCATATGAGATCCTATTTTAGTGCTTTGGTGTGTGTGTTTTGGGGAGAGGATGGGGGATGCTAACTTATCTCCTACTCCTATGGTTTGAAATACAACTGGCAGATGATTGATGATACTTGCTGATACTTAACTAATGCATGTACTAGTGGAAATGATGTGGGTTTATCCTCAACTTTACTCCAAGAAAGATGTATCTGCTATGTGTATAATGATTTCAATTGTTGACTTTTGTCTTTCTCAGGCTGGTGTTTCACCCCCCCTCCAACACCAATTTGAAGAATTAGCTAGGCAGGAACGTGGTGACTTTGGGAATTCAGGAGATAAAAGAAGAAATTTGTTGGTTATTGGTCAGGATTGTGTAGAACCGCTGCAGGCACTCAGGAGTGCTGGCCATGAGGTAATGCTTGAGAATATTTCCTGTGTGTTTATTACTTTAGCTTTTAATTTTTTGTACAAAGTGGTTATTCCTACATGGTCTGAGCTTTTACTACAACACTAATTAGTGCTTTATTTGGTGTAATTATATGCATTAGTGTCTGAAATACAGACTCCTTATGCCTAAATATTGGTGCATGTTTATGTAATTGCAGCAGCTACCATTGTTTAGATCTAGTCTATTAGGAGTGGATTAGGATGATTATTTCAAGAATTCTAAGTTTTTTTTAATGATTTTTGGTTCCTGTTTCGATGGAAAATGAAATCAAGTATATGAATGTAGTTGGTGGTATTAAGTATCGAAATATATTGTTTTACAGGTATGTGGGTACTGTTTCACTAATACATATTGTTAGTATGAAATAGTGTACATGGAATGTTTGGTTTTCCACCATTACTTATGACAAAAAATTGGAATAATTTTTCTTTTCTTCTGAGAGTAACAAACTATGTTTTTTAACAAAGAACCAGTATTCGGTACTCTGAGCAATAAAGGAACTGGGAATTTCCTGCAACAACTTCCCTTTTCTGTTTCCCTCTATATAAAACATTCAATTTCTCTAACCAGTGTAGTAGTTAGTTCTTGGAGCTAGGTTTATTTTTAACTCTAGAAATTTACATTTTCTGTCCTAGGCATCATCGGACAATCACCGATGTATAGTGAAGTACTGGAATATATATAGTTGTTGTGTTTATGCTGTATATAATATTTTAAACGGATTATGATCCCTGCTTTCATTTATTTTTATTTTATCTTATTTTATTAGCAGCAGGAAAAGAAAATAAAAATAAAAATGGCAATGAGTAGTTTCTTTCTTCTGTTATGCTTCCCTAGTTTGGTTGCAAAGATCCGTATAACTCATCATCCTCATGTTCAATTCTAGTTTCACCGAAGTTGTGTTCAACTTGAACTTATGCTTTCTTCGTATACTGTAGGATTGAGATTCAAGTTTCCTGGCATCTTAGTTTTTTCTGGAGTTGGTAACTATATCCTTGATACATTGAAATGTGCAACTATTGCTTGTAAAATGAAATCTTAATCTTTCTCCCCTCTTATTTCACATCTAGAATTTATGTATATCAGGTATTTTCTTTTGTTTTAACGTTCAACTTTACATTGTTGCTCCCATATATCCTCAGGTGAGCATGAATCTAAAAGGGATTGCAGAAAAACGAAGAAATACAGACAATTTAAGGAGAAAGAGGAAAGAGGAGAAAAATCGTAATTCTTCACTTCTCTTGTTCTCTTTGTTTCTTCGCCCCACCCTCAACAAAATATAGCCATTTTCCCTCTCCCAATGGGAGAATTCTTCTGATTATTTGTATACCTGTGCCAGGTTTTCGTGATCAACGGAGAAAGCAGAAAAAAATGTTGAAAGGGGGAAGCGAGTAGAATGAATCAAGAGAATCAAACCAAAGTCACACGGGAATATGAAGCCAACATCCTTACGTCGAATATTTTCGTGGACAGGTCACAAACTTAAAAGTCATAAATTTTGATGGCAGATATTGGTTGCGTGTATTATTCTGTTTTCATCATATAACATACAAACTAGTTTTGCACAGATGGATCTAGCATCAAATTTTGATTCATTGTTTTTGACTTTTCCATATAAAGGCATGACCATGACTATAGCCCTCATCAACTATACTTCAACTTGTCAATGATTTTCATCACAATGTATGATATATATTTTCCTTCTGCCAACTGTCATTAAACAAAAAAACACAAATGTGAGGGTGGTCATTGTCAAGTTCATAGTGAACTTTTCCTGTGATTGGTGGGTTTATTTTGACTTTCATTCAGCTGCTGATTTCAAGTGTGGCATCACTTGTTTGCCTGATTTAGTGTGTTTCCGGATTTTTCACAGTTGACATTTGAACAGTTTTAGGATATCTGTGCTCAAATTGGAAACTATTAATCTCTCTTAAATGAAAAGTCAGCTTCATTTATACGTGGAATGGAATAAACTAAATATGGAAACTGCAAGTGTGTGATATTGGATATTTGCTTTCATTTATAGCATATCATGATTGGTACTATTCTATTGTGTTTTCACATCTTCTTATTTGCATATAATCATCAATTATAAGAACTTAATGATTCCAAATTAAGGGTTAATCCTGCCCCTTGAGGTCGTAAACTGCTTTTATCCCTTAATTATTTCAGTTAAATGTTTTCTACGCTAGTTTACATCATTGCTACACTCATCATCGTCAACTTCGTTATAATAATTGTTATTTCTAATTGATTTGGTTATTTAATGGACAGATCTTTAATGGACAGATTCTTACATTTTGGTAGTTCAAACTTTTAAAATTCTACTTGGCAATAGTTCTTAAATGGTTTTTTTTTTTTTTTTTTCCTTCATAATTGTTGATTAATGTGAAGATTCTGAATGACTATGTTTTGCAGACGTTGTATATGTGTGTGTCTGTGTGTGTGTGTGTCGGTATGCGTGTGTGTGCATTATATATTATGGGTTTGAAATCTTGCGCCCATTTGCAAGACATTGGAATCGCAAACGAGGTGGTACGACCAATATAATAAGCAGACCAATTTAATCTTTTGACTTAGTTTATTGAAGTGTGAACTGTTTTACTAGTATGTATTGACAAAGCCAACCACCATGATCATGCAGTGGCCAAAGAGCTTTGTTGTGTTGTGTGGCTAGGGTTTGTTCCAAGAGATCACGTTATCTTTCTGGTATTTACTAACCCTCCACCTATCAGTTACAGATGGATAACATAATAAATAAATTTATATATATATATATTGCTCAGCAAATATAAGTCAATTACCAAATTTATGAAGAATATATATATATATATATGGGACGTGATGTAGCTCACATGATGACCAACGCCTTAGTATTGGATTAGAAAAATGATGAGGTGAGCCTCTTTATCGAAAGAGGCAAAAGTTCGGGTGAGAATGCTCTCATGATATACGTGTTTTTTTAAATAACATAAAAAGGTGGGAGAATTACCTAGGAATTCAACGACATGCTTGGTTTGTAATTATGTAAATAGTTTTTTATTCTTAAAAAATTGTACAAAAAATTCTGGTTGGTTTAGTTTTTTGAAAACTCAGTTATAAAAAAACATGTTTTCAGATAAAAGTCTTCTTTTATTGTTCTTTGAAAATTATTATTTGTTTTCTGAGTTTCTAATAATTGATTTTAGAGTTATAAACTAAGCGGATTTCAGGAAAAACTAATTATATAATGAGTAATGTTATCATGAGATCTCTCTCATGAAGTTTTTCATGAGCTGTCCCTTTTTTTTATCATGATTATGGACCAGAACTACTTGAAGAAGATTAAATGAGGATTATATAGTTAAAATTTTATTTAAAAACTCATTAACCGTATCACACGAGTTTGTCAAAATTTTACACTCTTTTTCTTGTTTAAATTACATTATTAACTTTGATCGACTCGTGTAATTTAATGTTAATAAATTTTATAACGAAGATTTAACTATATTATTCTTATTTAATCATCTTCCAAGTAATTGTATTGGTGCCTCAAAATTTATATATAATCAAGGCGAAAAAAAGAACTGGTGAAAAATCACATGAAAAAGACCTCATAATAGCATTACTTTTTATATAATTAACATTATTGAGCCCAAGAGAAAAGTATTTCCAGTTTTTTGATTAGTTTTTTTTTTAATTGAAAACGTTTCAAAGAAGTGATAGCACTACACTTATTAATTGGAAAGTCTAGTGACATTTCACTAGAAAGGAAATGATAAAGCTGGGTGGTCACCGTAGTGAGTGGTCAATATTGAGATGATATATACATCTCTTGGTGTTTATCATTCAAAAATCAAAAAAAAAAAAAAATCAGATGTGACCACGTGACATGACCGGATGGTATATATATCACTATATTTCCTGCAAAGAAGCTTTCATTGAGTGGTTGAAAAAACAAGTTACCAGATATTATAAGATTGTTTTTTTTTGCTGTTGATAATTGATTGATATATGTGACATGTACGGACGATATATAAAGATCAAACACTTTGTATAAAGATTAAACACGTATGTAATTTATTTAAAATTTAAGGTAATATTGAACCTTCACACAAAATAGTAGTAGAAACAATGAACCTAAATCACATACAGCCATGTGGTGACCCTGTAACCATCATTTTTAATTCTTTTCTAGGTCACAGTTCCTTCTCATATACCTGATCTCATATAAGTAAATGCTTTAACCAATCGAAAAACCAAACGAGGTGAATATATAAATATATATATTATATATACGTACACATATATAGAAAAACCAAACAAGGTGGTTTTTTATTTATGAATGTTCTCTTTTGTTAGATGAAAATTAATATTAGAAAATAAAAGTAAAAAAAAAAAAAGTAAAGTGAAACTTTTTAAACAAAAAAGTGAAGTAAATGAAAGAAAAATAATAGTATATTTGTTTAATATGAAAATTTTTCAAGAATAAAATAAAAAAATTTAATTTTAATAAAAGAAAGAACATTATTGTGAGTTGATAAAACTTTCTTGAGAAATAAAAAAAAAAAAAAAAAAAATTATGTATAGGTGGTTATGAAAAGTAATTTTTCTTAAAAATTTTCCTTTTTACGGCTAAACAAACTTCTAAAGTAGATGTATTTAAAAAAAATCATTTTTTTTAAAATTTTATTATTATTTTCATCTAAACAAATGAAATCTAAGGATTAGAGACCAGCCCACCCCATATATAAAAAAATTAAATATAAAAATTATAGTAGTAGATGGAGTTACGTTGAAGCAATTTGAACTGGTCTAACATTAGATATATAACAAGCTGATGTTTACCCACCATTAATCGAACATGTGGTCAACCCTAACACATGATACATTAATGTTTACCCACAAATACAATTAATTTAACATTAATTTCTATATCAGCTGATAATTTTTTTATATATATAAACAACTGTAATATGCTTGACGTTGTCCTTTAATTTGCAGTCCGGGTACGGCAGCTAAAAGTCCATTCTGCGGCGCATCGATTTGAAATTAAAACCAAAAAAATTCAGCAAAAAATAAATAAATTGTGTTGATGATTAAATACATAAAAAAAAATGTCAGCTCAGTCCATGGAATGTTTTGATTCTGTAATATTCATATTCACTAACCCTATACTCCATTATTGACCAACAATAATACTGTGGGATATTTAATTATACTTAACTATATTTTAATCCATCATTAGATTCTTTTACATGACTAAAAAATTGCAAATTGATGAATAAATTAAAGATTTTTTAAATCTAAGTATGGTTTGGACCTTTACAATTTTAGGTTTATAATAGTAATTATAATACCTCCAACATCATTTCACTAGAAAATGAATTAAAAATTAAGGTTTAGATAAGATTTGACAAGTGCAGTGAAGCTGTTCTTTCACTTGGGTGTTGGCAGATAAGATTTGTCATCTAAAAATTGCCACCACAAAAGTCTCTCCATGTGTATGTTGCATTTTTATTTATTTTCATACTAATTTGGATTTTTTTTTTTTTTTTTTTTTTGTGTGATAGTTGCATTTTGACACAATTGTCTACTTCTAGCCTTCTAGGTACCATCGATGGTTTGTTTCTTGTCACATTTTTTCTTTTTTGGGGGGTAAAAAATGGTGGTTCATTCTTGTCATATCGCGGCTCTTAAGTTTCAAATTCTGTACTCTTAGGTTTTACCTTGCACTTGAACATTCTTCCTCATCGAATTATGGTAAAAGTAAATTTTCATACAGATAGTTTGGTCAAGCGTGAATTAGCCACGAAGAAAAAGAAGTGAAATTTTTTATGTTTTGGTTAGCGTGTTTAATAGTTTGGTTGCCGTGAATAGAAAAGATTTCAGAAAAATAATATTCTTGTAACTGCTTGATTTTCATTGCGAAAATTTTAGTTTCGCTCTTGTTAAACCCTTGTTAGTTGTTTCTTTTCGTTACTTACTAAAAGGTTGATTTTTCTTTATAAATTAAGACTCCTAATTAAGTTACAATTTGCTCACTTTTTTTTTTTTTTTTCAAGGTAAGAATGCTAAATTAGGAGTTAATTAGTTGTGCAAAGACTCAAATTAGGGTTCTCTATATTTCTCTACATTCACAAAAGAAGTGAACCAATTTAATAGTTGCACTTTGACACACTTGTTTAGTTCTAGCCTACTAGGTACCATCAATGGCTTGTTTCTTGTCACATTTTTTCTTTTTTGGGGGGTAAAAAATGGTGGTTCATTCTTGTTTTATTCGGCTTTAAAGTATCAAATGCTGTACTCCTAGGTTCTACCTTGCACTTTAACATTCTTCCACATCAAATTATGGTAAAAGTAAATTTTCATATTAATAGTTTGGTTAGCGTGAACTACTCGGGAAGAATAGTTTGGCTAATGTGAAAAAAAAAATTTCAGGAAAATAATATTTTCACAACTGTTAAATTTTTCTTCTGAAAATTTAAGTTTCACTCCTATTATACCTTTGCAAGTCGTTTCTCTTCGTTACTTACTAAAGAAGTGAGGTTTCTTCGATAAATTAGGATTCCTGACTAGGTTACAATTTGCAGACTTTTTTTTTTTTTTCAAGGCAAGAATATTATATTAAGAGTTAGAAGTATAACAATTAGAAGTCAGATTTCCAAGGACAATGAAGAGCAACACTTTAAATTAGGGTTCTTCTCTACCTTCACGAAAGAAGTGAGCTAATTTAATAGCAGAGTCCTAATATATAATGCAAACTTTAATAAATAAATAAAAAGGCAAGTACAAAATATGTATTTGGACATATATATTTATTTGTAAACCTAATTGTATATATTATTTTATACTTATTGCATGATGTATATTACTTAATATTCAATTCAAAAGGGAAGTTTTGGTTTGTAAAATTATTTCTTTTTCACTGTCTTGTTATCCAAACTAATAAAATAATGTTTTCTCACAAATTACTTTTAAAAAAAAGAAATAATGCTAACTAAATGCATGATATAAACTTTTTTTTTTTTTTTCCCTTCACTTCACTTTTTTTTACTTTCACCCTCCACAATTTCCACTAATCTAAACAACCCATATAAAATATATATATTTTAAGCAAGAAACACACACCTACTTTTTGGACATTCGAAACTTCACCATTTATTTTAGGAAATAAAAGAAATACTACTAAGTCACAAAAATAGTTGCATGTAATGGCAGAGAAAAAAACAAAATACAAAATAACTTTTTTTTATTTAATTTTTAGTTAACCTGGGTGTCAAGGATGACATGAATCCTTAGGGCCCCTTAGTAACTCGACTAATTCCCGAAAATCCGGAAAGACACCTCTCTACTCGGGCCGGGTAAGTCACTGCAAGGGTAGTGGAGGCTAGCCACAAAGAACACCCAGCGAAACTCGAACCCGAGACCTTGAGCTTACTAAGCTTCAAAGTCTAGCGAGTAAACCGCTAGTCCATATTCGAAATGAATAATACAAAATAACTTTGAATCTGATATAAGACAATTTGATGTAAGACATGTTATTCGTATGTTGTATTTTTTTTATTAATTAAGTTTCTTATGTTCATTGCATATCTTCCAATTAATAAATAAGGAACTTAATTAATAAAATTACTAAACTCGATCAAAATGTCCCAAATCAAGGGATCATGGATAATTACACGACAAATTTTAACCAAATTATTAATTTATAATATTTTTCATTCAGTAATAATTGTCCTTGATGAATTTTCATTTATTAAAATTGTTTTATGATATTAATGGTGTTGGTGTATTTTTCTCAAACAATTTATTGATATATGTTAACAAAATCCAGCTCATTACTGCTCCACTCCTATGTGGCTCTGCCGCTAGTTGCATGTTTGGTTGCTTATTTTAATTCAAAATTTCGTTAAGTGATTAACTCAAAGTGATGATTACATCTAAAAAATTAATTAATTAATTGTTTTTAATATTTATTTCAGTGTGATTTAGAATATTCTCTACACTTTACAGCACAGGGGTCTTAAAAGGTAAAATAATTCAATTAGAAAAATGTCGAATTGCACACAATACAATTATAACAATAATTTACCAGATATTCCAACACGAAAAACTATTTTTTTTTTTTTTTAATTTAAAAAATTATATACTTTACACTTTACAGCGCAGGGTCCTAAAAAGGGTTCAATTAAAAAAATGTCGAACTGCACATGATACAATTGCCAAAATAGTTTACACTATATTCCAACACAAAAAACAAATAAAAAATTGATTTCTGAATTTTGAAATTTCACTTTTAGAAAGAAAAAAAATTTAAAAGTACAAATGCAATAAAATTTTAAACTAATTAACTAAAGAGGCCAAACAATCTTAAGGTATCCTTGTAAGTTGTAAGTAGCACATGCCTATATATATTTTACAAAAAAAAAAAAAAAAAAAAAAAAAAAAAAAAAAAAAAAAACGCAGTGCGTAGTTGTACAAAGGGGACATATCATCTTTCCAATAACTGTAGAAAAAATAAAAGAATTTTTTTTTCAGAGTTTGAAATTTTCTAAGGAAAAAAAAAAAGAAAAGAAAAAATTGATAATTGTCCGTGCATTTGAGACTGGATTGCGTACTGAGTATTCTAAAAGATCACACACCAATAACTGTAGAAATAAAAAAAAAGAAAATTTAAATACCAAATCAACTAAACTCTCACTAAGAATAAAGAAATGTCACACACAAATAAAGATAATACTTAGGTCACAAAAATAATAATAATAATAAAATGTATTATTGAATGTTTGATTTGGAATTCAAAATTGAATGCCTAGGCTCCTAATTTTTGGAATCAAAAAATTTTAAAATAAAATTAGCTTTCATAAGATTTGAAATTCCAAATTACAACTTCCTCAAATTCCATGAAAAAATAATGAAATATGTAAATTAAGTTAGTTGCAAATTTGTAACTTTATCAAATTGCCCTTTTTTAAAGATTAAAATTTAAATTAATACAAATAAAATGGTAAAACAATACTTCCTTATAATTAAAATCTAATTTGTTCCGAACACAATTTCAATTCCATTTCCATTTCCATTTCCATTCAAATCCCAAAGACAAGTGTGGTTCCAAATTCCACATTTAAACAAACCCTCCCAGCAAGAAGAAAGAATTGTCAACCTCTCTCTATAAATTAGGATCCACCACGACTTCAACTTTCCAATAACGCTCACTCTCTCCCTAACTTTCTCTCTCTAGGACCCAACAATGGGGTCCCTCAACTGCTCGGCCGCCCAACTGGCCCAATTCTTTGGCCCCAACACCACCAACGCAGCGGCCGCCGCAGCCTACATCTGCAACCAATTCACCAACGTTTCTGACAACTTCAGCGCCGTCTCCGACAGGTTCACCGACACCAACTTCGCCGTCGACACCACCTACCTCCTCTTCTCTGCCTACCTCGTCTTCTCCATGCAGCTCGGCTTCGCTATGCTCTGCGCTGGCTCTGTCCGTGCCAAAAACACCATGAACATCATGCTCACCAACGTTCTCGACGCCGCCACCGGTGGCCTCTTCTACTACCTTTTTGGCTTTGCCTTCGCCTTCGGCACCGGTTCCTCCTCCAACGCCTTCATCGGCCACCACTTCTTCGGCCTCAAAAATGTTCCGACCTCTGCCTTCGATTACAGCAACTTCCTCTACCAATGGGCGTTCGCCATCGCCGCCGCCGGAATAACCAGTGGCTCCATCGCCGAACGAACCCAGTTCGTCGCCTATTTGATCTATTCATCTTTCTTGACGGGGTTCGTCTACCCGGTCGTGTCACATTGGTTCTGGTCCGGCGATGGGTGGGCCGGAGCTGCGAGGACCTCCGGCGATCTATTGTTCGGATCCGGCGTCATCGATTTTGCCGGATCCGGGGTTGTCCACATGGTGGGTGGTATTGCGGGTTTGTGGGGTGCTCTCATTGAAGGACCGAGAATCGGCCGGTTCGACCACTCGGGCCGATCCGTAGCGCTCCGAGGACACAGTGCATCTCTGGTAGTTCTCGGCACATTCTTGCTTTGGTTTGGTTGGTACGGGTTCAACCCGGGTTCGTTTAACAAGATTGCGGTCACGTATGCTGGTGGCGGGAGCTATTACGGCCAGTGGAGCGCCGTCGGAAGGACCGCCGTGACAACGACTCTGGCGGGTTGCACGGCAGCGCTGACGACCCTTTTCGGGAAACGTTGGTTGTCGGGTCACTGGAATGTTACAGATGTGTGTAATGGGCTTCTGGGTGGGTTCGCTGCCATCACTGCAGGGTGCTCGGTGGTGGAGCCTTGGGCCGCAATCATATGCGGGTTCGTGGCAGCGTTGGTGCTGATCGGCTGCAACAAGCTGGCGGAGATGATGAAATTCGACGACCCATTAGAGGCTGCGCAACTCCACGGCGGTTGCGGAGCGTGGGGTATTATTTTCACGGCGCTGTTCGCGACGAAGAAGTACGTCCATGAAGTGTACGGGGGGACGGATCGGCCTTATGGTTTGTTCATGGGTGGTGGTGGAAAGCTATTGGCAGCTCATATAATCCAGATTCTGGTGATTATCGGGTGGGTCAGTGTCACAATGGGTACATTGTTCTATGTTCTTCACAAGCTCAAGCTTCTTCGGATCTCGGCGGATGACGAAATGTCGGGTATGGATCTGACCCGACATGGTGGGTTTGCTTATGTGTATGAAGAAGATGATTCACTTAAACAAGGTGGTGGATTCGCAATGAAGAAGATAGGACCTGCTGGTTCAAATTGAAACAATTAATTTTTATTTTTTTGGTTTTGGTTGGTTATTATTATTAGTTGTGAAGATTGAAAATTAAGTGTGTGATATAATTTTAGGGTTTATCTTATGGTTGGAATGGAGATAATGAAAACATGGACCGTATTTATTTGTTGTCTCTTAAATGCGTGCATAGACTGCATACTCCATACCATTAAATTTATTTTCTTATTTGTTATGAATTTTATAATTATTGTGGAGGTGAAAGACATTTGTGTTTTGTTTTTTTTCTCAGTTAAATCCATGTTGTAGTTGTCTCTTTTGCTTTTGAGGTTTTGACGAGTTTATATATATGTGTGTGTGTGTGTGTGTGTGTGTGTCCCTATTGTCATGGACCCTTTCTTATTAGATTCATTGTATCTCCTATTGTCATGGACCCAGACTCTCTTTTCAGTTGAGAAGAGAATCATCAAATGCTAAAATCATGGGATTTACAATGAATATATAACATGGAGAAAGTATCAAATCCCTGATACCATTTCCATTTTTAATACTTTCTCACATAGCCAGGTAAAACAAGAAAAATATTTTCAAAGTATTTAATACCTTTCACATAACATGAAAAAAAAAAAAAAAAAAAATTAATACTAGGAATAGGTTATGGAATATCCTCCGGCTCCTGCCAATAGAAATTAATTTTTCCTTGATAATAAGAAAAAAAGAATCTTTATTAAAAGAAGAATCTTTATAGGAGTGGGATACCCTATTATTGTGCCCAATTTGTCTAAGATGGTAGGAGATATCACCTAAACTAGACAATTAGTGATAATTTTGCATTTTAGATCAAAGGTTATATAAGCATAAATTCATGTTTTAGAATTAGAATCATAGTTTCAAAGAATTGGGAAAAAATTAGTTCAATCATAGCTTCAAAGTTGAAAATTATAATTGGAAACTTCAAAGTTCAACATTTCTAGTTGCATGTGCAAGTTAGAGTTTTTAGACGAATGATAAATAAAATTTTATCAATATGAACTCAGAAAGTATGATTTTTTTATTTTTATCCGTAAACAACTGGTGGTACGATCTCTCATCTTTAAAATGACTTTTTTAAGAAGTGATTTTCAAAGTGAAAGTTTAATATTTGAGTTGTATTACGGATAATATTGTGGATGTCTTTCTCCTTTAAGTGGAGTTTGAAAGTCCAAGCTCTATTAAAATAATATTGAGAGACGGTGTATTTAGTTTACTTTAAAAAAAATAAAAAAAATAGATATCCACACTAGATGGTTGAATAGTGAATAGTGTATCCTTTAGGTGGAGGTAACAACTATGTCACCAACATAACAAATCAAAGAGCAAGAAAGTTCTTGGAAATTTCAATCGCACATTTTCCTTTTCACAAAGGTTGATCAGTCAAACATGGAGACACAAACCTAAGGCAAAGCAAAGCAATAGGTGAATGTGTGGAGTGGTGGTTTGGTTTGCATCATTGTCATCGAAAACTTTGAAAGCTGCTTTGTTGACTAGAGGGAAAAAGAAGTTATCAAAAGTTCCTTTTTGCAATTTGAAGTCCTTTTGAAAGTTCAAAGCTATTATCGAAGTTGGATTTTAAAGAGTGTTCACATTAGAGAAGTAGGTGGGACGATAGTTGCTGATGAAATTTGTTGACTATGACTTGGTGCTTTTAATTTCATCAATGGGTGTGAAATGAACGAGTAGGGCCATGAGGTTCAAAGTTGGGCCTCCAAAAGTGGGCTGAGCCCAATTTCATGTTAAGTTTTTCTCTTTTCTTCGCTCCAGTGGGATCGAATAATCTTAAATAATATGTGATTGAGCACCTCTGTTTGGAGGTAAAAAAAATTTTAAAATTTTTTTTTAAAATTTTTTTGGTATTTAATTGTCGTAAAATATTTATAAAGAAAAAAAATTTAAAACTTACCAAAAATAATTTATCCATCAATTTTCTAAGTGGAATTGATCTCAACCTTTACCAAACACTGAAAAAAATAAAAATAAAAATAATAATTTACTTGAAAAAGAAAAACATCAATTTTCTAACTGGACGTGATCTCAACCTTTACCAATCATTGAAAAAAAAAAAAAAAAAAAAAACTATGTCGAAACAAATAAAGCCTAAATCACAAGCCATGTATTCCCTAATCCCTACGAATCACAATGTAAAAAAATTAAAAATCATCCTTTGAAAAACCTTTCTGCGGAAAAAGAAACCTTGTTTTGTACTAACATGAAGTTGGTTTGGTAATACATGATATGATATACTTAATAGATTCACCCAAAATAAATTGTATTTTTTAGCCAAGAATTTGTTTCCATTTGACTATACCACCTCTATTTTCAAGAATGATATCGTAGTTATTGTCTCAAGATTTATTATTAATTTTCTTCAAATTTTTATGTTTAGAACGCTAATAATATTAATGCGTAAACTAGACAATAATTTTCTCCATATTAAAATCGTCACATTCTAAATAAAAATAAATAAAATAAGAGTAACTAAAACTTATTTCACATGAACTAATCAAAGATAACACTTAGAATTACTCAAATATAATAATTTATTTTTTTTTAAGGCAAGAAACATATTCACACACTCATTTGTTCTCATTTGAAGACTTGAATATTTTGTCTTCTATTTTGAAAGATAAAGAACTACTACTAAACTACACATTTAGTATTATTATTTTAATAATAAATAAAGATGAATCTCATATTCAAATTCACAATCAACACAACTACAAGTAATAATAATAATATAGGACTCTAATCACTTTTCCAAGCATAATGTAAACATTTCACTTTTGGGCTGTATTTGTTTGGACGTAAAATATTTTTTTAATTTTTTTTTTCATTTTTCAGGTAAAATATTTTTTTAGTTTTACTTATTTTGTGTTCGACAGAGGTCTAAGTCAAGTTTGAGATCAAGTTCATCAAACGGGCGTGTAAAATAAGTTGTTGAAAATTAATGAATAAGTTAGATTTTAATATTTTTTTTTCATAAATATTTTAGGACAACTAAACACTAAAAAATAAAAATATATTTAAAAAAAAATATTTTACACCCAAACAAATAAGCTACAAAATACCTTTACATAATAAAGAATTGTGCATATCCCCGTACCTCAGATGTCTCTGAGATAAGTGATTAGAGTTCAAAATTCAAATAGAATTATTTTTTTGTTTGATGGTGAAAAAAAAATAATAATAATAATAAAGAATTTTCAATTTTTCTTTCCTTCTTTTTTATTTTTTATTTTTTATTTTTATTTTTATTTTGCAAAGTTAATTTGGGGATTTACCGAATGAAATCCAACGGCCAGCAGCAATTTATCCGTAAACAAAAGTTCCAAGTGTACGGCCTTTCCCAATCAAAACCCCCCGCCACGAACCAACGATAAGGAACCAAATTCTAAAAGAGCAAATCGAAGTTGAAATTTGATGGGGAGCTTTTCAATGGAGGTGTTTGGAGGCTCTGCTTTGGCTTATGCGTCTCTCTCTCCTCCTTCCGTTTACAGAAACCCTAATTTCTCTCCCAAGGTAACCTCTCACTCAATCCGTTTTGTTGCTCAGAAAAACCTATGTAATACAACAGTAGAAAACTGAATTTTTTTAGTTTTTTTTATTCCACTTTCTCTTTATCGTTTTCCTGCATTTTCTCGGTGACCTAACAGAACACTGTTTATAGCTCGGTATGTGTAGTGATATAATATAATTAGTTATTGACACTTGTGCAGTGAAATTAACGCACGACTTGTAATTATTCCATGCTTCTATTCTATGGAAGCCTTGATATCACGTTTGTATAACAACTTACATGTATATTGTTGTACAATTTGGAATTCTTACATTCTATAATCACTACTGTTTGCAAATTTGTATCTCAAAGTTTGAAAGATTTATTTGTTTTTTTTGCTGAGAAGAAGAGCAACAATAGAACAGCATTTAATAGGAAACAAAGATTTTATCAACTTATCATCTCCTGAAACTAAAAAAAAAAATCTGATTTACAATTAAGGAGGTTATTTAATGGTGGATAAATGGGAAGTTCATTAATGTATGTTCGGATGCACTCTTGCAGGTGCTCCCATGGAATTATCTACACATTAGCATTGTAGAAACTAGGTTTTGGAGTTCATTATCGCGTGTAAGCAAAAATGGCAATGACAAACGAAGAAGTTGGAGCACGGTTTGCCATATTCAAGGAGATTATAAAGATGGATTCTTTTGTCAACCAATATGGAGACTTAATAAAAGATTCACATATAGATGTGGTTTGTTTCAAATAAGGGATCCATACCTTCCCAAATGGAGGAAGTATACCATCAGTCTTCAAAAAGTAACAAACCGTTCAGAAAATTTTAAACATCACGTCTCCAATCTTTTTGTTCGGCTGGTTGTTGTAGTAGTGCTGGTTATGACAGTTTCCGTTGCTGTTAGCAAAACACCTTCGTGTAAGTTTAATTGTTCTATAAAATAAAATATGACTCTAGAGCTAGAAGAATCTGTATAAAGATGGAGATTTAATTTTCTATGACAATACTTCAATTTTATCATTGTGCAGGGGCCCTTTCTGAAGAGAACCTTCTCTTCTTGGAGGCATGGAGAACAATTGATCGTGCATATGTTGACAAAACTTTTAATGGGCAAAGTTGGTTTAGGTACAGAGAAAATGCACTGCGGAATGAACCAATGAACACGCGAGAAGAGACGTGTATGCTTTCCTTTCTTTGCAGTCATTTCTCTGTGGTGGTTCGCATGCATCCCAGATAGTATTCAAATAGCTGAATTGCATTAGGACTTATATGTGTATGACTAGTTGCATTTCAACACATCAATTTTCTTACTAAACTTAGAGTTGATACATTTATATATAATTGCAGTATATAAAATAAGATGAACACGCGAGAAGAGACGTGTATGCTTTCCTTTCTTTGCAGTCATTTATCTGTGGTGGTTCGCACGCATCCTAGACCGTATTCGAATACCTGAATTGCATTATGACTTATATGTGAATGACTAATTGCATTTAACACATCAATTTTCTTGTTAAACTCAGAGTTGATACATTTATATATAATTGCAGTATATAAAATAAGCTAAGTAGTGGTCTCTGGAATAGTAATTCATGACATGTCTTTGTGGCTAATCTTAGGCAATGAGTATGTGTGAGATCAAATTAATATAACTTTTGGTCCTAATTTTGGTCCCAATTTTGTCTCTGGTATTCGTATTAGTTGGTCATTTAGACAGTTTGAAGTAGTATGGTCATTTAACCAATAGGAAAGGTTTTTTCTTCTAGATTTACATGCTGCAGTTTATGCTTGTATTAGTCGGGTTTGACCGTTTGAGTGAATTACAAAAAGATGTTCTACGTGGAGTTGAATTGACACGTAATAATACTAATTTTGATCATCCATATAAGGTTGTTGTATGTCTCTTTTAGCCTGCTGTAGGGCTTCACTGACACTACTTAAACTGACATTTTTTTTTTTTAAATTACCACACCTGAATTGGAGGGTTATACTTGTATTCAGATATGGCAATAAAGAAGATGCTTGCCACCCTGGATGATCCTTTCACCCGGTTTTTGGAGCCTGAAAAGTTTAAGAGTCTGCGGGTATAAAAATGTTTCTTCTCAGCAATTTCAATTACTGCATCTTGGCTGGATTGCAGAAGAGCCAATATTTTAGTTTCATGTTTCAGTTCAATCTTTGTAGAAATTTCGTGGTCTTAGTTACAACTCAACATATTGTCTCTAATTTCCATTAATATGTTCTCTGAAGGCAGTCAGGAACAAAAGGTGCTCTTACGGGTGTAGGGCTGTCAATTGGCTACCCTATAGGACTTGATGGATCACCTACCGGACTGGTTGTTATTTCAGCTGCTCCAGGAGGCCCTGCTAATCGGGCTGGTATTTTGTCTGGGGATGTTATCCTTGCAATTAATGAAGCAAGTACAGAGACCATGGGCATATATGATGCTGCAGAGCGCTTGCAGTGAGTTTCCTACTATGTCAAAGCACTTATAATTTGCCTTGTCATTTTTTGTCCAAGTCTATATACTCAAGTAATGGATACAATCCCACTCTGGCATGGAGTTTTGTACATTAGGGAAATAAATTATTATTGAAATATTACTACCCATGTCACATACAAATGCACACAACAGAGAGAAAGGGATGGAAAAATTGCCGTTTTCTTCCTTATTGTTCCCTCTTGCTTTCGTAATATCTGTTTGCTTCTCCCAGTCATGGGTTGCAAAATATGAAATGATTAAACTGACAGCTAAAAATGCACTAATTTTTTGTTTCATGGTATCACGACTATAATATAATGGCTCATGCTGAAATTAAATTGTTATGTTGTTATTATTTTATGTTTTTTTCCTAATGAAATAGCCAAATGGCGTATCATCTAACCATAAATGGAGTACTCAACTGCACTCCCTTCTAATGGTGTTCACTCTTAACCAGTGTTATAGTCGAGAAAAGGATGAGAAAGATTAAAGAGCTTCATTATTTGTAGTACTATACACTGTTCCTTGTAAATTGTGCTCTTAATCTTTGAACTTAAGCTTTTGTTAGTTCTATGAAGCATTTGTGCATGATTTGCAGTAATGCTCAACTTCTTTTAACCTAATTTTGAAGCTTTGAGCAGTTGGTTTACATTTCAAGAACTCCTCCCAACACCACCCTTAAGGAAGGTGCCGTGGCCTTTGACTGCCTCATTTTTTGGAAACCACGATCTCTGCTCTTCATTTGAGAACTTCCAATTTCCATCCTGCACACAAGTTTTTTGATTCAAGATGCATTTTTTTTTTTCCCTGGGCAAATCATATATTAAAAAAATATAAAAGTGTATGTACAATAGAAGGGGGCTTTAATATGTTACAGTCTCTTTTTGATATATATTTTAGTAATGAAGTTAAAGTATAAGAGTTACTATAAATTCATCCTATAAACGGGACAGGGCAGGCAGGGCATCTCTTCCCTAATTCCACCTCAAACCTTATGAGATTTACCTCCCTTCCTCTCAAATCCATCTCCATCACAAACAAATACCCAGTCTGTCCCTTTAGGAGAGTGACAGGATGGTGACACAGCAATCTGGGTCATATTCATACTTAGCTAAGGTGGGAAACTAGACATAATCTTAACCTTTAGCGTTATTTTGCACAAAATGGATGCTCTCAGACTTTAACTCAAAATTAAATTCCAATAGAACTCCTTTAAGTGTAATATATATATATATATATATATATATATTTCTGGTGTGTGTCTGCCTTTACAGTACTTATTGATTATCCTAAACACTAATTTGAAATGCAGGGGACCTGAAGGAAGTGCAGTGGAGCTGACTATTCATAGTGGTCCTGAGATAAGGCACCTATCTTTGACGTAGGTTCAAGATCTTTTCTCTCTCTCCTACAATGAGCTTCTGAGCATCGTATCTACTTGTTTATTGTTTTTACCTTTTCAAGCTAGGAAATTGGTTTTGCATTTATTATAATGCATTAACAGTTAAAGTTTATATTTTGTTATGCTTCAATGCATTAAACAAAATATAAACAAGTGCTTAAGGCTCCTTTGGGCCATGGCCACAACTATCATATAGGGCAAGGTGTTATGCTTCAATGCATTAAACATTTAAGGATCAACTACCTTTGCCATGTACAAGTGCTTAAGGCTCCTTCAGGCCACGGCCACAACTATCATATAAGGCAAGGTGTTATGCGTTAATGCATTAAACATTTAAAGATCAACTACCTTTGCCTCCTATATAGTTAAAAATGTTTCTAGTATGTTCTTAAGTATGTTTCTTCATCAGTTGGGCTTCACAGGATCTGTTCCATATACTTATATATAATTGAGTGTACATGTTACAACAACAGCAAACAAACAAGGCGTTTTCCCAACTACTTGAGGTTGGCTAAATTGATTGTGTATATATTAAGCCTATACTAGATACTAACCCACTGCTGATTTCCAGGAGAGAGAGAGTTTCACTGAATCCGGTGAAGTCAAGATTCTGCGCAATACCTGGTTTGGGAAAGGATGCCCCCAGAATTGGATATATCAAACTGACGTCATTCAGCCAAAATGCTTCTGGTATCATAGAGCTACTTCTTATTATAAGTTAGGTTCAATGAAGTTATGCACTAGTATTTTCTGTTGAAGTTAGTCAGATAACTAGGACATAAATTCATTCCATAAAAGCTTGTTTACTACTCCCAAGCAGGCTCAGAACTTACCTTATGTTTTATTTCATTTGAATTGGCTACCCAATTTTGTTTTCACCTTTTTCTTTATCTGTCTTATTTTCAATTAAGGCCTAACATGTCGTGTTGCAATAACTTGTTCCCTGTGATATGTATTTGTTTTATTTGAAGTTTTCGAATCTCCATCATGCTTTATGTGTATCAGGTTTTAGAATCTCCAAGGTCTTTTTCTTGCTTTTTCCTTTTTGAAGAAGGAGAAAGAATGAGTTTGTCATCCATTTGCTTTCAACTATGTTCAAAACGTTATGTGTCGTGATTATAAACAATATACATGGTTCCCAATTCCCCATACTTGGTAATAGCTTTTGATAGTTATTTATGCCACTAGAAATTTAGACTGAAATCAACCTGGAAATCCTTTTTTTGTTTTTTTAGCCCGGACACAAGCTGCCTGTAAAAACGAACATTTATCCTATCAAGCTTGCTTCACACTTTAGAGTTCATGATTTCCATGAAAGGAAAAGTTAACTGATTTCTTTAAAGATTGAATATTCAGAAACTCATGCAAATACACATGATCCCCACAAAACTGCATGCACTTATTCCTTACTCAGTTGCTCTGCAGTATGGACTACTGTACCCTTTGCCTTTTTACTCTAATAAGCTAGTATGGGACAATTACTCATGCACTATTTTCTTACAATCTTAATGTGTTTATTGTGATTAAATTGCACATCCCTTTATAGATCTGTAGAGGAGATTGTTGTTTTTTTGGCCTCTTTAAAGGCTTAGAGGCTCTTTTTGGCCTTGTGTGTTTCTCTTGGGATTCACTCCCCTTTTGAGTGCTTTTTATAAAATTTTACTTATAAAAAAAATTACACATCCTTTGTAGGTGCTGTCAAGGAAGCAATTGAAACATTGAGAAGGAACGATGTTAATGCCTTTGTCTTGGACCTTCGTGATAACAAGTAAATATGCTTTCAACATTCTTCATTTAAACTTCCCCTTTGGCAGGCTTTCTTAAAGATTAAATTTGGTGCAGTGGTGGTCTTTTCCCAGAAGGAATTGAGATTGCCAAGATTTGGTAAGCTCCTTACAGTGTCAGTATTACATTTTTTTTTCTTAGTTGGTACTCACTCACACATGCCTCCATGGAGGCTTGAACCCTTAACCTCCTTTTGGGAAGTAAGGGCCTGATACCACTAGGCCACTGGCCCGTTGGTATCAGTATTACATTTGCTCATGCATTTTCTCTACCCTTTCTTGCTATCCTATCTTTTGCAAGTCAGTTTGGTATCATTTTGCTTGTGGCACTTGGGAACGAATTAATAATAATCTTGTCTTCTCGGTTTTATTCTGTTGTCTTTTACAAACTTCTTGTATTCTATTTTTTTGTTTTGATTGGCTGTGACTTGTGAATAACTTGCAACACCTTTCCCCCTCCCCCTTCCCTCATCTCCCCTCTTCAGTTGTTAGACCTTTTTGTAAGAGACCTATTTGATTGGTGACTGTGGTAATAATTACTCCATGCCAACTGTTGCTGCATGTGCAAGCTAAGTACTGCCAAATGATGAAAAATAATACATGCACGCGAATCTCAGTTATCTGCGCTTACAGTACTGCTTTATACTTCCTTCTCTGTATGAGTGATGTTCGGATGTTGCATTAAACTGTCAAGTTTTTTTTATTTTTACTCAATCTAACACATGATATGCACCAAGATTTTTATATAGGATTTTAATACGAATGCTTGTAATTAGTGATAAAGTAATGTTCACAAGGAGTTATGGAACATAATTTTAATGCATTTCAACTTTCAAGGTTTATGGTCAGATATTTGATACTGTCTTTGTGGATTCAAAGTTGTTCTTCATTCATTATTGAACACTGGTATCGGAGCCTTGTTTTTTCCTTGGTCCAATAGTGATCGAGTGTTTTGGTAGCAACCGCTTTGGTGACATTGATCACAAAGTGCAGGCCCTTGGGGCAACCATGCATACTCTAGAACAATGGTCTGTACAGGTTAAATGCGGAAAATAATACATGTACATGAATCTCAGTTATCTGCGCTTACAGTACTGCTTTAGGCTTCCTTCTCTGTATGAGTGATGTTCGGATGTTGCATTAAGCCGTCAAGGTTTTTTTTTTTTTTTTTTAACTCAATCTAACACATGATATGCACCAAGATTTTTATATAGGATTTTAATGGAATGCTTGTAATTAGCATAATTTTAATGCAAGGAGTTATGGAACATAATTTTAATGCATTTCAACTTTCAAGGTTTATGGTCACATATTTGATACTGTCTTTTCTGGTCTTGGACTTGTACCCTTGACATACAATTAGATCCGTCATATCATACAGATGGTTATTCTGGCCACAAGGATATAATGGCACCTCTTTTATGTGATGATCTGTATATTCTTCAAATCCATTGGACTGGTAATTGAACAGACGGAATCTGGATATCCCCTTTTTATTAAATTATAATTCAAAGCATCACTTGAAATTATCAATTCTAGTTTTTTAAGATAATTATATCAAATCGTGTGTATACACAATTGTATTTGTTCAAATCTGTATTGAAAGTGTCATGTTATTAAATTAAAGCAGTTCCCTATAGATTTCATTTGTTTTCTGCCCTTCTTAATTGCACTTTTTATCAGAAAACACTACAAACTTAACTTGCAGCAGTTAACTAACTTAACTTGTTCATGACTTCACGTGAATTTATAACTTCTTTTTATTGCACAAATCTGGTTCATCTTACTACATCTGTCCTTCAAATTTTGTGCAGTGACTTCTGTAAATTTTTTTTTTTTTGGGGGGAGTTCTGTTCCACTATGATAGCGGATATTAATCTATTATCAAGAGTACTATGGTTTTCAAGCCTGAACATTAATCTTCAATCATTAAGCTGGTGTTTCTACTTATTGGATGGAATTTATATGGCTTAAGATCTCATTGTTAGATATTGATGCCAACCAGGTTGGATAAAGGCGTGATCGTGTATATTTGTGATAGTCGAGGCGTTCGAGATATATATGACACAGATGGGACCAATGCAGTAGCTGCTACGGAACCCCTAGCTGTTTTGGTATGCTAACTTACTTTTATCCATTGATATGATTTTGTCACAACAATCCTTGAAACTTTGATTTTGTACTGCATCTTTGGGCTTGTTGATGCTGAACTTAATATCTTCTCAGTGATTTATGGTAAAGAGGTTTAGATGTCTCGTTAAATGCTTCTGTTAGGTGAACAAAGGAACTGCAAGTGCTAGTGAAATTTTAGCTGGTGCTTTGAAAGACAATAAGCGTGCAGTACTATTTGGAGAACCTACATATGGGAAAGGGTAATCTCTTTTGCTTCCTCAGCATGAAAATCTTATAACGTATTTCTAACGAGACCTATCCATCCCTTTCAACAGCAAGATTCAATCGGTTTTTGAGCTTTCTGATGGCTCTGGCTTGGCCGTTACAGTCGCTCGTTATGAGACACCTGCTCACACTGACATTGACAAGGTTTTTCTTACAGATTCTCAACCTCTCTCTCGCACATTCTCTCATGGGGTTAAGTGTTTATCCATTAATTCTTCTATTTTTGGCACCTATCTAGGTTGGCGTGATTCCGGACCATCCTCTTCCAGCATCATTTCCCAAGGATGGTGACGGTTTTTGTACCTGCCTCCAGGACCCTGCAGCTTCTTGCTATCTCAACAGAGTCAAGTTATTTTCCAGATGATGGAATCTATAAAAAATGTAATTTATTGTTTTTTTAGAAGTCTTCATTATTCTTTCACAGATGCCAGAAATAGAAAAAGAAAAAAGGCATTGGCAAGCATTTGAGTATCTCTGAAAATAGTTTATATAAAGATCTTCAGAGTGAATGGTTGGCGTATGCGATCGTTTTTTTTTTTTTTTTTTGGTGTAATTGACTTCCAAATCAAAAGCAAGAAGAGAAAAAAATCCAACTCTCCATTTTTTTTTTCTCTTCTTCTGGACTTAAATATTTACTTCCCAGGGAACTACATTTTGTTGTTGTGCAAGGGAGTATATTTTCAAAATCAAGTCTCTCTCCATATTAAACTTTATTTTTTTTTTTCTATAGATATTTTGAACAGAAGAATCTCACCGGGGATATGAGAACGGTAATTGATTTCCAAAATCAATTTAGCATTTAACAAAATTTATTTCAAACACATAATTGTATAAAATTCTGTGGGCATATTTGGCAACAGAAAACATTTTGCATTTTGTATTTCTATTTTTATCTGAAAATGATGCGACATTTTTATTGTGGAGTATGTTTCATATGGTAAGTAAGAGAAAACATTTTGCATTTTGTATTTCTATTTTTATCTGAAAATGATGGCACATTTTTGTTGTGGAGTATGTTTCATACGGTAAGTAATTGAAAATATATTAGGTAAGGTAAAAGTTTTTGCAAGATTTTTGAAAGCAAAACACAAAAACATGTTTTGTAAAAAATTTATTTTAATTAAAAAATAAAATGAGAAGTAAAAAAAAAAAAGTCATTTGGAGTTTTTTTTTCTCTATTATTATTACATCCGTCCCATATTAGTAGTCTACCAAAAATTTCAAACTTGGTAACCATACATATATAAACTAAAAAGGGCAAGTTTTAAAAGGCATGTCTCCTTAAAAACTCTAATTTTTAAACATGGACCTCTAATATAGGATGGAGAGAGTATTCGTGACAGTACTATATTTACATTTGACCCATTGATTCGTGAAAAAAGGGGTACGGACCCCAAATATATTAAAGCTATAAAAATTATAAGCTCATCTATTTTACTTATTAAACAAAGCACATACTCCTACCAAAGAGTAAAGAAATAAATATAAAGCTAAAAAAGAAAATGAGTTGTCAAGTCCACTGGCTAATGGGACTATTGGTTGTGTGTGTCAAGATCTAGGTCAAGCCTGGTCCATCACTGTGCAAAGGAAATGGCATGCTTGGTACAACTTTTGAATAACAAACCAAATAAGTTTTTGTTGTACAACTTATCAATAAAAATAATATTAGTACAATTTTATCTTTAAAAAAATATAATAATAATAATTTATTATTAGTGCTCAAACTTGAAAAAGATATTTGATAGTCCTATATATCTATCCAAATCTGATTTAAATATTAACACGCTAAAGCAATCCTTAATCGTTATCATCATCATTGATAATAATAATTACCCTCCCCTTCGGTTGTAAAAGTTCATCCACTAATACCAAATAATTTTGGATAGATTACACTGACCTCTCTTAAAGTTTAATTAATTTACATTGACCTCCCCTCTTATTAGCCATATTACACTCATCTCTCTCATATAGATAACATAGACCCCCCTCATTTAATGAAAAACACTGTTCCTGACGGAAAATGATAATGTCAGTAATTTTTTATTTATTAAATTCCCATTCTACCCTTGTGAGCTATAGTTTGGGTTACCATCATCTTCACCGAAACCGACGAGCTTCAATTTGGGCTCACCATTCCGGTGAGCCTCTGAGACACATCGTCTAAGTAGTAGCGTAGCTTAAATGAACCAATCAGCGACCAAATAGGCAAGAACACTCCTCGATATGAAACCCAGTTCGGCGAACAAACTGCAACTCCCGTGACAACAAAATCGTTGTCTCGACTCTCTTAAGACCTTCCTTGGTTTCGGTGACAGCAAAACCTAGTTCGGACTGAATCACATCGGAACCAAAAATTTGTAGACAAAGAAATATAGATACACACCCAGAGAGAGAGAGAGAGCGCTTAGCTTTTGATAAAGGCAACAATGGTTGCTGGGAAGGTAAAACTCGCAATGGGCAGTCTGTGATGGTGCCGGGAAACTTCGTCGAGATGGGTCTTGAAGGTTGACCGAAGCTTAAGATGATGCTGGAGTCTCGGTGGAACTGGGTTTCGCCGAGCAAGCTACGACAATAATAGTCACGATTCTGGCGACGGTAGTGAGCAACATAGTGTAAGGATCCGGCACGATGCAAGCACTGAATTTGGCAAGGATGGCCGGCGAGCAAACAAGAACGGGGGCGAGCAATGATGAACATCGGTAAAGGAGCTTACCGGCCAGGACAAACTGCGACCTGGATAACTCACCGGCGAGGAATGAAGAATCCATCGGCGAAGCTCATGACGGCGAATGGCAAAGCTCCATTGTGACGGCGAGCTCATAGTTTTGGCGTAAACCCATTTCAGTCTGGCAAGTTGTCTTTCGGGTGCACTCCTCACCGGCAACGTACGCTTTATGCAACGAGTTCGCCGGAGATGGTGTTCAGAGCTGTGCATACTCACACTTAGATTAATGAAGCTTTGCATACTCACACTCACAATCTGACCCACTCGTGACATACTCACACTTAGACCCAAAACTCACACCCTTCACCGTAACACAATTCTTGTTACCCTAGTAGATTTGGGGACCAACTTTGACATCAGTGTCCTAATCCCATATATTTGGTAAAGAGATGGATAAACTCTTCATTATAGGATACAAGAAGCTTACTCTGAACTGAAAATACCAACCCTGTTATTCCCACTTGCTTTATCACCAATCAAATGAAGGGGGCAAAATTAGTCAGTTCCCCATTTATATTTACGGATATCATAAAGGCCAGTATACTCTCATCTGACCCTGCAGCTGCAAAAAGATTAGGATTCTTCAGATCTATTGCAAAAAGATTAGGATGATTGAACCGTACTTCAACGATACAAAGACAGAGCTACACACATGTATATACGATGGGTTAGTGATTATGTATGAGAGAGATGGTTCCTAACTGGGAGAGAGATGGTTCCTAACTGGGTTCGCTGGAGATGGTGGACAAAGGGTAAATTAGTAACAGTATTCTTTACATTAACCCATCCATCTTACATGCTTGTTAGGGGAGGTGAATATAATGTGCCAAACAGGAGGGAGGTCGACGAAACTACAGGTCACTATAATTATCCCAATAATTTTTGTTCATTAGTACTAGTATCGAATAATTTTTAAAGCTATGTTAAGAACTAGCGAGGAGAAAAGTTAAATCCCATAGGATTAAGGCTTGTAAAAAGATACTCTTTTCCATAATGACTTGCAAATAATTGAACAACAAGCCATGGGAAAATCTCACGTACATTTTTGTAGATTTACAGAAAGGGTGGCTTATTTGTCAACTTCTCCACTTTATTTTTACTTTTTTTTTTTTGATAAGTTCAACTTCTCCGCTTTGAATTGCGCACACCCACAAAGACACTAATACGCCAATGTATTATGTATTATATATTGGCAAAAAGAATAAAACCCCCCTCAAGTATTAAGAATCAGCATAAAACCTCCTTGAACTACAAAATCGAGCAAGTCAGTCCCTCATCTATCAAAATTGATCAGTTTTACCCCCTGGCTGTCCTTTCCGGCTCATTTCCAGCACAGATGAAGCGCGTGAAGTTACTTTTTGATAGAATTCCAAAACTGCCCTTACAATATGACCGTTGTAGCCCTGTCTCTATAAATTGGCTCCAAACCTCATTTCTTCCTCCTCCAACAGCAGCTCCCCTCACCGAGTCCTATAAATTCCTTCATCCCAGTTTGAAGAAGTTTGAGAAGTAAAGGTATTTGTGTTATATATATATTCTCCACGTATATATGTGTGTATATGTAGATATATGTTTACTGTTTAATATAAAAATTTGTATTTTCTTAAAGTTATATAGTGAACATGTATTGATAAAGTTGTGTAAATTATTTGTAGGTATATGGAACCATCTAGGACCTCCAGAAGCTCGAATAATGTATCTTATCGTGGTAGAATGCCTGAAGAATTGTATTGATATTGTGGAATAAGATCTCCTTTGAGAAGAGCAATAACAACGGCGAATTTAGGGCGGAGGTTCTACGGATGTGGAAGTTATCCGATGAGGAGTTGTGGATTCTTGAGATGGATAGATCCCAACACAACGAATTTCAAAGAGATTTTAATTGGAACCAGATGGAAAGAGAGATGGTTATGAGAAGAATATCATCTTTGAGAGTAGAAGTTGGGATGCGAAATTTAGATATGAACTTGGAGGTGCAACATTTACCCATTAATGATAATATGAATTTTGTGGGTGCACAACCTGTACCAAGTAGCACGACTAGAAACAATGTAATCACTAATTTCAAAATTTTCATATTAGGATTTATATCTTGTGGTATCATGATGTTAATTGTATGGTTAGTAAATCAAATATAATTGTAATGGAATATTTTTTTAATGAATATAATTGAAGCAATTATTTCTTATCTATCATGTAATACTATGATATACATATAGTAACACAAATTGCAAAACATGTACCAACTCTCAACACACGCAGTCGACATAGCATAGTAACACAACTACAAGAAATGCACCATAGTCACTGTAACCTAGCAAAATAATAAAAGGCATACAAACTGCAATTACAGATGCACCATAGTAACACAACTACAAGAAATGCACCATATTCACTATAATCTAGCAAAATAATAAAAGGCATACAAACTGCAATTACAGATGCACCACACTCATAAATCATTGTACCATAAAAAACTGAACAAACCAATAACACAGAGCTGTTCCTTTCCGTACAAGTGTACCAACTTAGCAATAAAATCCAAGCAATTGCATCCAAAATCTATACTAGCTTATTGCCATTGTGTCTTTATCCATACAAGTGCACCCAAAATGTATACTGATTGCTATTGTACCATAAAGACACTAAAAAAATAGTTAAAGTACCATAAAGACACCAAAAAACAAAAGTTGTTCCTTTCCATTAATAAGTCCATGAGCTGCACCAAAAAAAGTTGTCTGCCACCATCTATCCCCAATGTTGGCTAAAGTCTTGGGTCCCTTGTAGTGGGTCTGCCATAAGGAAAAAGATGAAGATGATGATTATGATGATGCTTAATTACTATGGAAATCAATTAAAAGAGATGAAGATGATGACTACAATGGAA